CACAACTCAGCATTAATCAAGACCCATGTAGAGATGTGGCTAGAAACTCTTTATTACACACCGATTCATGGACTGATCTGCACAGCATGTAATCTAATTGTGGTCCTTTTAAAGATGTATTTCTCTAGAAGTTGCTATAAAATTCTTAATTTAATTTAGAACCTATTGGGACCTTCCCCCCGTCTCATTTATTATTTGTCCGTTCTTTATTTGTTCCTTTGCTTGCTAACCACTATCAGGTTTAAAAAAAACTAAAAGTCACTCATAGTTGGATTATAAACAATAAGTAAAGAGGAAAACACATGACCCCCTTAGTCTTGGCCGTACTGGACTCAGATTTATGAGAATAATCCCTTCCAATGTAAACAACAACAAGTAACATTTACCGAAATACCTCGCCAACTTTCACAAAGAGGAAGAGACAGGGAATCAGGCTGTGGAGATGCAAACAGAAACTTTTGTGTGCACCTGTCTGCCTTGTTGCTTGACCCGCTTGGAGCATATACAGTATGTGCACATTCAGGTGTCTACACACACACACACACACACACACTATATTTGCACCTCAGGGAAAGAAAAAGCTGCATCTGTCCCAATAAAAGTGTCAGAGCAGTGTAGATCTTGCCTGTATGAATGTCTAATTAAAGAGGAGACAGTGGTGTTTAGTGGTAATGGGGGGTGGTGGTAACGTCCCTCAGCTCTCACAGAGTCGTGACAGGATTGCACACAAATACACAACAGGAATTATTCTGCTGCTCTCAAAGCCGTGGGAGGACATGCCAGCAATTAACAATTAGACCGGGAGAGGAGAGTTTGCAAAACACGAGTCCCCACCAGCAAACTCGCTCTGAGGAGGAGCAAACTGCAATTAATGTTGAACAGCATCCAATTTAAAAAAATGCAGTATTCCTGAAGCCTGTGGATTTAATAAATATGATCCTACCGCCTGTACCCTAAGGTAGAAATCAAAGCAGCAAACTTTCATCAAGAAGTAGCTGGCAGCTGCCCGTGTCTGAATTAGCTCCTGCATGCTTGATCGAGAGAGAGGGAGAGAAAAGAAAAACAAGACAAACCTAAATTTAGCATGTACAAAAATCCACAGCATGCTTCAAAACCCAAGTTATTTGTATTTCACTCTAAAAAGAACTGCAGCTCTGTGAGGAGGAAAGAAAATATCCTCGACTAACCAATGATTTAATTTGTCTAAAAGAGTATCTGAACCCTGATTTGAATCCTGTTTTTTTTTTTCACTTGAACACACATCTGTTAGTGAAATACCAGAATCTGTAGCTCTAGACAGATGTAGCTCCCACTGACAGGCCTTTTGGTGCATACATTTAAAATACAATCACATCCACTCATCTTATATGCTTGTGGCTTTGTGTGCAGCCCAGATAATGTAAAGTTGATTACAGTAAGACCGACTCATTTTACAGTCATCACGCTCATTCTGCAGAAAGAATGCTAAATGAAACCCCTCCGGAGTTTTGGCTGTAAAATAATCCTATTCCTATCATGGAAGCTTGTCTGTTGTATATTTACAGGACATGAGAAAGAGCAGGCCCATTCTCACAGATGTTTACAACATATACTTACAATACCAAACATGCATTGACATGGACACCATAATGACACACTGAGACATTCCTCCTATTGTGGAGAGCTGCCTGCGCTCCGACTATCCACCCACTCACCCTCAAACTGCATTAAATATGTCCAATATGGCACATACAGCAATTTCATGTTTGCCTTTAGTAGCCTTTCATATAAATTATAATATCTATTGGTCATTAAGAATAAAACTGATTTCAGTTTTGTTTTCATTTCAGCAGTTTTTTTCTTATTTGCTGCATTGTAGTCCATGACGTACTCTTAATTGTTCTCGTTTTAATTGTCTGTATGCTGTTGTTGTTTTTTGTTGATGTAAAGCACTTTGTGAACTTTGTCTGCGAAAAGTGCTATATAAATAAATTTAAACTTACTATCTTACCCAACCTATGAAACAGTTATCGGTAATTTGTGGACTTCTTCAAACTGCAGGATAAACTGACATGTCTGAAGATTGAAGAGGTCAAAGATAGAGAATCATAAAGAAACACTGAATGTCTTCAAGGTAGATTTTCTGTATTTAAACAGATTTCAACTTTTGAGTTTGGTTTTGTAACTTTAATTTTTTTCTTATTTTGCTAAATGTGAAGTGTTCACCTTCATGCTTATGATTATTAACAACACAAGAAGTGGTGAATGACCAGATTTTTCTCACATTGCCAGAAGTATTACCATTATCTCCATTTTAAATGGATCAAATTTGTTTTGTACCTTTGACTGAATGATTTGCAGCTAAACAGCACCACCTTGTGGCTGTGAGTAAAAGCTGCATACCAAAGCCTCAGAGAGCTGCATGGGTCATTAAGAAAAGAGGCACAAATGAAAGATTAACATGTATAAATTAAACTAATCCCATGTTGTTACACTTCAAATGAAAACAAAACAACAAAACTCAGGTGTTGTCTTTTAATCACAGTGAGTTGCATAGCTTCAAAGCAGCACCAATATCATCATTTTAAGACCGTCAATGAAGCTGACCACCTCAGCCATCACATTATAGTTAAACGGAGAACGCTTTGCAGAGTGACCACTGAAGTGAAAACTGTGACAGAAAAGTTAAGACAACAAGGAGGTTTTTAAAAAGTGGCGGTGGCTCAAACTCTCCCAGAAGCCTTGTATTGTAACCATAGCAGAAGACAAACAAGTCATCCTCCTTCATTTGCATTCAACCAAACACTGAAGATTAAAAGATAGAATAAAAATAAAATAAAAAGTCTAAAAAATATATTGCTTTAGAAATCAGTGTAATTTCAAAGATACAAATGTATTAAAGCTATAAAAAAAACCTACATGTTGCATAAGAATCCAAACTGGACTTAAAACAAAAACTAGAATATAAAGATGCAAAAAACAAAATGGAGTTGAAAGTATCAGTAGTTAAAAGTATCACAGCTTTGACATCTCAGATTTTGGTTCAAGTGGAAATAATTAAAAAGAGAGAGATATAAGAACACAAACTCTGGCCTTCAGTTTGCTATTCCCATCCTTGGCTCTTCCTTCTCTATGAATCCCTTATTCTACTGACCATTTCAACAGGAACAGACATTTCTGCATACTCATAGAAGCTATCAGGTATTCTAAAAGAAAAAGCAAATGTTAAATAAAAAATACAGTAACTTCAGATATGTTCACGTTAAGGCACATATTTCCTAATTAAAGCTTTAAACAGTCTGCAGTCTATTAAGTCTCACTAAGATACTACTTCCAAATTAAGTTATCATTTAAATATAGAAGTCTGCTCACTACATTTCATCAATGCACTGCTTCCAAAGGTTGGAGACATGCATCTTCAAAAATAAATACAATCAAGTTTGCAAATTAAATAAAGCAAGTTTGAGTCGAACGACAGAGCTTATACCAGCAAAAGACTTAAAAAATAAAAGAATCCATGTTAGTTGCATTTTGCAGAACATTTTGAATGAACAGCAAACATGGAGAGTAAAGATGAGGCTGATGAAAAGAGAAGAAAAGTGAGAACTTGCATCGGCTCAAAATAAAGCGTGTAACATCCTCCTTATTTTTTATGCTCTTTATGAGCTTAAATTAAACGAACAAGACAGCAAAGAAATTCAGGTCATTTCTTTGTTATCAAGGTAAACCTTTAAGGCTCTTTAAGAAAAGAAACAAAAACAGATGAACATTGTGTCAAACCAAACCAGACAGCGTCTTATACTGCTCAGTTATTACGTCTGATCAAAAGGATCATCATTGCCCGCTGATGTAACAAGTCAGACTTTGATTGTTCCAGTTGGGAAAGTTCTGTGACTGACGGTCAATCCTGGAAGAGATGAGGAGAGACAGACGAGAACATGAGTGCACATTTGAACCTTTCAAATAGGCATAAACAGAAACGTTAGATGACGACCCTGAAAGGCCCATGGATCTTTAAGCAGGAATACAGCAGGCAGCGGGGAACTGGAAAGTACCATATATCTAAGTACCTCCTTTAGCCAAACGTCCTTTGCTATAAAAGGGAGCTAACTCATGGAATACACCTCCTACCGAGCTTAAGACATACCAGAGTTGCCAACGTTTTAGAATGTAATTGAAAGAATTCCTTGAAAAAATAACCAATCATGTAGTCATGTGTCGGTATGGTGTTAGCGGGGGAATGGGGTGGATGGAAGGTATGTGTATAGATGTGTCAACCAAATGTAACATTGTTTAGCTTTCTCTGTTAGCATGTTCTCCATACATTTCCATCATATATGTGTTTTATATTGAAGGCGTTTTTCAGGGATGGGCATTGGAAATTAGCATTAGCTTGTAAATAAAAGGCTGTGGCGAAGTGCAGTGGGAAATTGTTGTTCAGTGCTCCGTGTATACTGCATCTGTTGCTGACAAATAAACCAGAGAAAGGAAAAAAAAAGTGGGAGTGGGTGCATGTAGAAATCAGCATATAATGACTGAAAAACAACTTGTTATGAGCTGCTGACACTTTTAGCAGGGCATTGTGCAACACTTCACCTTTAATTGTTTTGGATTAAAAAAAAGAGAATTCATACCTACTGGTAAGTGTTTCTTACATATTCACCATATGCATAAACATAAGGAAATACAATTCTAGGTCGCTTAGGCTCATTACTTCTAAGAAAAACCCAGCACAAAGGAAACTGATTAAAGCAAAGGAGAGAAAAATCTATTTCTAAAAATATAATGGAAAGTTGAAGTAAATGAGAAAAATAATAATAGAACATATAATAGGTTATGTCTGAAGCAACTCAAATACAAATCAGTAAAGTGTCTAACTGTAGAGACAGTGGATGTATTTGGCAGCAACCCTACATGTGGTCTCTGGAGGAGTTAGGGGATCTGACCGGCACAGATGGAGCACACTGCGAGCCTAAGGGCGCTCTCACACTAGAAAATCTGTACCCTGCTTAGGCACGCTTCATCCATAAAGTCCACTTCGTTTGACCACTTTGCCCTGTCCTGCTTCAGCACTGGACAGTTCATGCACAGGCACACACACTGTGGACAGCCTTCATTACCGAGAAACCCCAGAGTGTTCTGGCTGTATCTGACTAACATGACTAAGCCACAAAGTCAGTAAAGTAGCTGTCATGTTCTCTGTGTTGTTCTCAGATGTGCGGACACCACTTGACAGCTTTTTATTAATATTTTTTTAATTTTCATGTTCGCCTGTCTTGTAAACTAAGCACGCTTCATAATTACATAAAGCCATTCATGCGTTGTATTACGACATAATGTACAAGAGGTAACAGTCCTCAGGCCGCATGCTGTGAATGGCTTCAGAGTCAGTGGCAGCAGGTACAGACAGATTCAGTGCCGAGCCTCTGTAACAGCCTACATGATTGATCGCTATCTTATACAAGGTGCAGTGCATTGTGTTGTCTTCTTGGTGTGTGTGCAGGTTGTATTTACCCATTCACAGCGCGCGTTTTCTCTTCCATGGCCATCTACTGAAATGCTGGGAAGAGGACTCTGCTGTCGGCTGTTTTCTTTCTCTATTGAGGATTGGCTTCCTAACACTTTCCTCTGTTTTATAAAAAAAAAAAAAAGAAGTGTTTATATATCAAATGGTAGAGCAGTAAATCAACGTAAACAATAGAATCTGTAAATATTCACAGTAAACAAACATGTTTGGTATTTCAAATCTATTCTATCTACCTTTAATTTACTTGCTGTGTTAGTCTGTTCTCATGATGAGATTTTAGTTCAGCCATTTCAACAATGTGGTGAAAAAAAGAGAAGAATAGAACATAATTTCTTTCAACCAACCTTGATAATTCCACCTAAAGAACGTGAGCGCCAATGTTTCCTGCTGAATGGAGTACGAGAGTCCGCTGTAGGAGTCAGCAAAGGCTGCTTTTCAAACTAGAAAACAAAACAGAAAAAAAAAACACACATTAAGGTTCAGAGTCTAAGAAGTGTTATGTTCTTTCTCCTCACAACAGGTGGCTGACCTACTGTACCTGTCTGATGAGTTTCTTCTTTTTGGCAGACTCGGGCATGCTGTTGACCTGCTCGTACAGCTCTCTGAGGGCCGATTCGGTATAGCTCTGAGTCTCACAGGACCTGGCGCTGGAGGTGCTGCTGACCTCCCCTCCCATTGTTCTCAGCGAGGGAGACGGGGAGGCAGCTGCTACTGCGGGCATGGTGTCTTTGGTCCCAGTACAGAGTGTCAAGTCATCCTAGAGGGTCGGATGTAGCATGTGTCGAGATATTGAAATCTGTTATTTCACTTAAACAATACCCTCAAGCTTTGCAGTGGCAAAAAATGAGTCTGTGTGTGCGTGTGCTCATACACTATGTGCACATGTGAACGCAGAACAAATAGCTGTTCAAATCTAAATACTGAAACAGTACACAGAGTTTTCATATAATCAGGATTTTAAACTCTCTCTTTAAAGCACATGAACTTGGTTGAAAAAAAAAAAAAAGGACAAATTGAATAGAAGCACTCACCTTTGACTGAAGAGTTTTCGATCCTGTGTAGTAAAAGCGAGTGTATTCTTTGATGTATGGGGGTGCCTTCAATAAAAGCAAGCTTATGTTAATGAAAGGGCATTAAAGAAATGATTGGAATAGAGTAGTATAGATTAGCATGATTGATATTTACAAAAGGTATAGCCTTGATATTTCAACTGTGAAGATTACAGTGCATGTGTGTGCACGCGTTGCATAAATAGTCAATGCATTTGAATATGAAAGGAAAAAAACACGCCTACAATCAGGTTATTATTGAGCCCTGATCGCGACACTTTCCATTGCCTTTATGAATCTTTCTTTCACATGTTAATACTGCATTCTCTCTCCTTTCCTCGTTTGCATTTCTTGTAATCTTGGCAACAGCATGGTCACTTGTCACAAGGTGTTAATAACGGTAAAGAGGAAATAACAACAACAATATGAACCAAGAGAGTAAACCACACTACCCAATCTGGGTATGTATTCCCATGATATCTAAGTAGAAATGTTTGTTTTGTTGAGATGAAAGTTCAGTTAAGTACAGAATATTATTAAATAACATTAATATTATAATTATGTTGAGGTTTGAATTGGACAGAGAAAGGAAACAACATATGACAATATGTGCAAAAAGATGCAGGGAGGGAGGAACTGTTCTGGAGAACAGGTTTAACATGGAAAATAGTGCATTGCAAAAGAGCCTAGAATCCAATGGAGCTTCGAACAAATGCACACCAATGCAGATCATAAAAGTATTTATAAATGCAGAGCAGCATCGTTAACGGAGTCTGGCTTGAAGGGAGCTAAAAGTCAATAAGTCTACACTATAAGCCTTTATTTTCATGCAGTCCTATTATTCATCATTCGGCAGAACTCAATTTCCTAATGGTTGACAAAGTGCTGGAGCATTTCTGTGTCCATTACGGGATTCTTAATGTATTCAGTTTCCATAGCAGTGTAAACAAGTGCTCGACTTCACAGCCAGGTCAAAAGAATAGATTGATGCAGTAGGGACTTTTTCTTTTGCCAACGGTGCCAAATGAATGTTGAAATGAGAATATTTATGACAAGACGGTAAGTGGCAGATAGCAGTTGAATTACCAAATCCAACCTGGAGATAGCATTTCAGCACATAGAATATTTATGATCATCCACAATATCAACGTTTTTTTGTGCCACTATAGAAAAGTGACAAATTGCTGTTTTTAAACTATCATAAGACGTTATGGCAATTATAATGATTTGACCCCTTGCTCGAGTTGCCACAACACTCAGATGTACGTGGCTCTGGACAAAAGCATCTGCTTAATTAAACTGTAGCTGTCACTCCTGTGTGGGTGATGACTGATTGATCATGACAGATGACAACAAACTTTTAAGATCAAATTTTGGGAACAGACTTTACAACCAGAAATAATAACATAAATCTCCACATTCTAGCGCTGCTGAGTGCACTTTGATAACTGCATGAATGAGGAAATTCTCATTTCGATCACGTCTCTCTGGTTCAACAACAGCAGAGAGGCGGAGATTTGGTTGAAGGAAAACTTTCAGCGAGCAGTTTAGGCTCACAGTGTGTTATTACAGTGACTGATGGAGAGAGAAAAAGGATCTCTGTGACTTACAGTGAGTTCCTTCAACTTAAAAAAAAAACAATTCATAAAACTCCAGAGAAAGATGTTGTGAAGCTGCCTACCTTGAACAGTTTTTGGGAGTGCCTGATGAGGAACGCTACATCTTTATTCAGCTTCTCGATGTTCCCCTGCAGGTCACATGCCATCACCTGCCACGCGAAAAAATACAGAGTAAAAGCTCGATAAGACAAAAATACAAAGTAGGGGAATACCAAAATATCAATTTACTTAACTATTGCAATATTTTATATTATTGAAACTAAATCAAATTGCAAAAAACTGTTTCTGTTTGTTTATCAACAACAACTCCCAATTCCCGTATAGTCAACCGCAGCGCGCACGGTTTTGCTTTGTTGGACAGCGCGTCCTGCCACACAGGACGCAGCAGAGCACAGCCATGACCAGCTGTACACACATCACAGGAGAACTACAAGATCATGCGAATATGAAAGCGCAGCATATTTGAAACACAATCATTGTAGTAGAGTGGCAGTAAACGGCAGCGTAGTACGCAGCGCTGACGGATTTCCCCGCGCACTGACTATGTGGAAATTGGAGGTAACTGATGTGAGAAAATACTGATTCCTTTGTGATGATTGCACAAAAAATTAGTGCACTAATGTTAGATAATGTTAGTCTGCCATCAGACTGTTTAATCAGACTATTTAACAACATCACCACCTCATGCTACACACTGTGTGTGTTTTGTTAATAACAAGTTACTGTGTAATTTTACATTTGCATTATTGTGTTTTTTTACATTATTGTATTTTTTTATTTTATTTAAATGATGTAAATATGTTTGATCTGTTTCTTAACTTCTATTTTTATTTTTTATAAGTATATTCCCGTCCCCCGTTTTCTGGAGCTGCTGTAATGCACAAATTTCCCCCACGGGGGATCAATAAAGTATATCTTTATCTTTATCTTTATTTTAGAGGGATGGAGACAATGACGTGGTCGGGGTGGCTTGGACAACCCTTGAAGATAGGCCAACCCAGATGCCACCTCAAAAATCCTATGCTGTGATTGGCTACTTGCCTTCTCTGACCATTTCTGAACATACAGATTATTTTGGTGTGATTAATGAATTAAGCTAAAAGGATATACTGTATATGTTTCCATTATCTTGTGTTATAAAGTAGATATGATTCCTAGAAAGGGTAAATCATGGGTATTAATGTGTGTGTGTTTTTGTGTGCTTATCAAACTTCAGGCCACCCCTGCATAAGTCAGTGAACCAGTTGCCCCCCCCCCCATCAAAAAAGTATGGACACCCCTGGATGGTGATTAATATAAATGCAGATCCACTGTCTCCATCGCAAAGATCAAATGTTCTTGACACCTTTTGCATGTTGTGTTGTATATGAGACTTTAATTTAGTTAGAAAGGTAAAAAAAATAAAAATCTTTCTGAACCGGTTCTTACATTTTTGGGCCAGAGGATGTGAGGAGCGAACATTGTGGCTAGATTGAGAGCAGACATCTTGTTGACGTGTTGATTGCGAGCTGTTTGGAACAGCAGGTCCAGCAGCAGCTTTAAGAGGGTGCGGTTGGCTGGTGGAAGCAGCATGAAAAGCAGCTGATATGCTTCAATCTGGCGTTCCTTGTCAGGCATTTTCGTTTTATCCCCCTTTTCATCAAAACGAGTCAGCTCTGGACACAGAAGATAAAGAATCAGTACAAAAGAGCAAGGGGCTCATTTCAGTTTCATCTACAGGAAACAGTGTTTTATCTTGAGGCATGAAAATGTATGAGTCAGCCAACACCTCCAATCTTCAGGTGAGCACAGTAGTGTCTGTGCGTGAGCAGAGGCTCTGGCAGCTCTCCCAGGTAGGCTTTGAGCAAAGTGGCCGCATCGTTGGGGTGGAAGTCGCCTGTGTCTAGATCTATCTCTGTGCCGGCATTCAGCATCTCCCTCAGGGCTGCCTGCCTCAGGCTGTGGCCTGGCACTCGAAACAAACCCTCCACATGAAGGTCTGAGGAATGAGATAGAAAGATGGGGAAAGACAGCCGAGGGGGGGTGTAAGTGTGGGGGTGGTGGGTGGGGTGGGGAGACACAGAGTGAAGCAGACATGAGGAGTCAAAGAAACAGTGGGCAGAGAGAAGGAGTGAATGAAATGGAAGAAGGGATACAGCAGGAGCAAAGTGCTTTCAGATTAATTATTGACCTAAAGCGTTTGCTCCCTGTGTCCACTTTCAGCAAATGACATCATCGCTTTCTAGAAATAAACCATGACCTCATCATGCTAATTCCTAGCACTTCAACTGAGTTAAAGAGCAAATAGTATGTGCCCTCAACATAAGAGATGATAGGCTAGCAATTTACTCACTTTTACTCAGGTATTCAATGAGCTGATAGATCTGGGCTATTCCTTCTTCAGTTAAAGGTGCACCAAAAACCACGCCTTTATCTGAAAGACATCAAATGCAGAAATAAGACTTGAAGAGCTGTGTTTAGATATTTCACTTCAACAAAATGTACAAGGAAGAATCATTAGACTCTATGAAATTGGTAGTTAGTGTGTTTTATGTGTGTTTTCCTCGTTATTTATGTGGAGGTGAAGCCAATGATTCTAAATTGTCAGATTGTTTTATGTTGCCATGGTATTGGTTGCCAAGCCATTGGAATTGGACAGACCATCTAGATATTTCTTTCTTTTCTTTTTTAGGAAGGGGTAGGAAAAAATTAGATTTATTCTTCTCCCCGCTCCTTTCCGAACATGGATTGGGATAAATTACAGATAAATTACCAGGATAATGCCCACCAAGCTGCTCCGCTATTTTTTTTAAAACTATGGAACAGATAGGAATCAAGTGGGTTTCCCATAGAGTTCAGAAGGAGCTTGCCACGCACCAGCTAATCAAAAAAAGAAATATAGCTACCCAGCAGCCAATCAATAAATAGCATTGCTGTATCCGGGTAAGATTTTACGACAGAGGATTAGGGCATTACGTTAAATTATTATTAATTTTTTTTTTAATTTCGAGATTATTCTTGTAAATAAAGTCATAAATTTACAAGATTAAACCACAACACTAACCATAATCACACACACAATCTCCCACCAGGGAGGGCAGATAAGCACCCCTGCACTAAGAAATGTTGTCAATAAATAGTTTTATTTGTACTAATTTATGTGTCTTTTATCAGATTTTACCCAAACTGCCACTGCATCCAAAATCTCACTCTGAACTCAAGCCCTGGTTTTGTTCTTTTTATGGCCAAAGCACTTTGAAAACCCATATTTTTTAAAGATGCTGCATATTGGTTCACTGGTTTGCTTCATATCTCAGTGAACAGTTTGTTTGTCTGCTGGTGCACTGTTTTTGTTTTCTTCATTTGATGAAGTGTTCTCGAAGGAAGGTTCAGGGTGAAAAAACCCTGAGAAGTTGCAGCCATAGATGCAAATAATGAGCTGAAATTCATTATTGCGTTCCCAAAACAGCGTTGACTCACCCCTAACCTTTAATTCATGTGCAAATTAACCCTTTCCATAAATGAATGACGTCAATGGATGAGTAAGTGTCAATCAATGAAAAGATGAAGTGGACAGTGACGTGGTTATATGAGTTTTTCTTTTTCCCATTTCCAACTCTTTTTTTTTTTTTTACTTAATGGATATTGAATACAGCAGATGCTCATACCAAGCATCCAAGGTTTCTCATGATATTCTTTTTTAACAAATGTACAGTGTCTTTGAGTTTCTGAAAAGTGCTTTATAAATAACATATATTATTACAATTGTATGTTGTAGAGCAGAAGAGAACTAAGATTTGTGAATGATTTCATTCCTGCAATAGTCACATAACAAGAAAATAAACAGAAAAAATAAATAATTAATAAACCTGCAAATAAAACTGCTCAAAAACAGAATGGCTGCCTGAATTCAAAACTTGAGAGCCCTGGTTTTGTTCTTTTTATGGCCAAAGCACTTTGAAAACCCATATTTTTTTAAAGATGCTGCATAATTAAAGCTATTATTATTATTATTATTATTATTATTATTATTATTATCACAAGTTTTGAACAATGTTAGCACTTATTGTGTGATTATCTCAAATCTTCAAGGGCCTAATATAAATATAAATTAAGAGGTCTTAGTCGTCATCTAAGGTATTTGTGCCAAAGCAACATCCTAACACAAAGAAAACAACAACAGGTGTTGAACACAGTGTGTGTCACAGTAACACACTAATGGCTCTGTCGTCTACCTTTCCGTTTTAGGAAGTTCAGGAGCGCAGAAAGTTGCTAAATATTTAGAAATCTTAGCTAAATATTTAGAAATCAAAGCTCAATATTTAGAGTCTTAGCTAAATACTTAGAAATAGTTGCTAAATATTTAGAAATAGTTGTAAAATATTTAGAGTCTTAGCTAAATATTTAGAAGTCGTTGCTAAATTTAGTTTGTATTTATATATATTTAGCTTTGATTATAAATATTTACAATCTCAGCTAAATATATAGGATCAAAGCTAAATATTTAGAATGTAAACTAAATGTTTAGAAACGTAGCTAAATATTTAGGACATGTATTTTTAACATTTATATATAACATTTAACATTTAGATAAAACATTCAACATTTAAATATAATATTTAACATTTATATTTGCCAATTAAATTATTTTTATATTCGCAAAAGTAAATAGGACAAAGTTCACAAATATTTCTCTATATGTGAATAAAAAGTGTTTGTTTGTTTTTTAGGGCTAAATGTGGAGAGATGTTGTTGTTGTTGTTGTTATTTGTAGTGTGCGCAACTTTACAACAGGCGCCCCATAACCAGAAACCACCAGGTGTTGAACACAGTGTGTGTCACAGTAACACACTCATGGCTCTGTCGTCTACCTTTCCGTTTCAGGAAGTTCAAGGAGCGCAGAAAGCTGGCGGCGGAGGGCACCTGGCCTCAGACTCTCCGGTGAACTGAGCAAATTCCTCCCCTGGCAGGTCAATGAGTCGCGTTATGTTGCTCAGGACTAAATCCGTGAACACCTGTGGGTGCTCATGTCTCAGCCGCTCCACAAAGAAGTCTGGGTTAAATATCACAGGCTGGCTCGCTTCTGACTTCCCCCGGCTGTTAAACACACTGCATTTTGTCTCCCTGTTTAGGCAGAAACACAAAAGGTTGCAAAATAACTCAAGGAGAAAGTAAAAGTTGTCATGTAGCATAAATTAGCGCAGTGACGTTAGCTACTAACATCTGGTTGCTAGGTTGGCTAACATAAGATTAAAAAAAAAAAAGTTACTCGACAAAAACATTACTATAAATCCTCCGAGAGCACAAACACTTCATTTTGCAATTTTAAAACGTGTTTATCGACAACAATTAAGCGATGAATCGGTACCTTCTGTTAAGTTTGTGATTGTTTTGGGGATCATTTTCTGCAGCCGCCGCCATCTTCCAGTTTGAATCTTCCGCTGCTTCATTTTTTAGTCCCGCCCCCGACGTTTTGATTGGCTGAAACGTACGTACGTCAAGACAGCGCAACTGCAGGGAGGGAGGTTCCCTGTACTACACATTACATTACCCGATTTAGCGCAAACACATGTAACACAACACATTCGCCATTAAAAGGTATTAAGCTGTAAAAATAAAAAAAAAAGACTCCTATGAACTAAGATTAACCTTAATAACATGTATTTAACTTTTATTTTACTTAATGATATGGTTTTATTTGAAATCAAAATACTTTGTTGTATGGACTTATATTTCTTCAATAATGGGTTAAATATAGCCTAAATTATTAATAACTAAATTAATTAATTAATTAATTAATAACTAAATAACTAAAGTTATTTAAAAAAATTCCGGACGTCATCTCACAACCCCCCTCTTGGTGTCTAGGACCCCACTTTGGTAACAATGTGTCAAAAACAGAATGGCTGCCTGAATTACAGTAAGAGTAAAATTAACAATATTTTGGTTTGACGTTATGAGAACCTGACAAATGCTAGTTTCACATAGGCTCCTCATACTGTAGCCTAACTCAGGTTATGTGTTCACTGGTTTGCTTCATATCTCAGTGAACAGTTTGTTTGTCTGCTGGTGCACTGTTTTTGTTTTCTTCATTTGATGAAGTGTTCTCGAAGGAAGGTTCAGGGTGAAAAAAAACCCTGAGAAGTTGCAGCCATAGATGCAAATAATGAGCTGAAATTCATTATTACGTTCCCAAAACTGCGTTGACTCACCCCTAACCTTTAATTCATGTGCAAATGAACCCTTTCCATAAATGAATGACGTCAATGAATGAGTAAGTGTCAATTAATGAAAAGATTTGTTGAATAAGTGGGACAACAAGGTGCTAAAAGTGTTGAAGTATTTTCACAGAAAGACAGTGAAGTGGTTATATGAGTTTTTCTTTTTCCAATTTCCAACACTTATTTTTTTTTACTTAATGGATATTGAATACGGCAGATTCTCATACCAAGCATCCAAGTTTAAAACTGTTGAAAAATCAGTTGCAGCCAGGGTCCCTTATTAAAATGTGTTTTTATAGCAGAATTATAAACCAGTTGAAGGCTGCTACAAACATCAATTTGTATACATAATACTTTAGATTCTCAATCCACCAGTTCCAGGTTTCATGTTCCACTTTGTAAAGCAGAAGAGCACTTAAACATCCCTGGTGTTGAAGTATTTTCACAGAAAGACAGTGAAGTGGTTATATGAGTTTTTCTTTTTCCAATTTCCAACACTTATTTTTTTTTACTTAATGGATATTGAATACGGCAGATTCTCATACCAAGCATCCAAGTTTAAAACTGTTGAAAAATCAGTTGCAGCCAGGGTCCCTTATTAAAATGTGTTTTTATAGCAGAATTATAAACCAGTTGAAGGCTGCTACAAACATCAATTTGTATACATAATACTTTAGATTCTCAATCCACCAGTTCCAGGTTTCATGTTCCACTTTGTAAAGCAGAAGAGCACTTAAACATCCCTGTTAATATGAAGACATTTCTACTCCAATGACCAACACAGAACAAAATTATAACAGGAAATACAAATACAGTTACTTTTCTGGATATCAAGGGTTATCCTGTTGCTGCTCTGTTTAGCCACACCTGACGATGAATTCACAATGACAACTTGGTTCATTGAATCATCATTCGATTTGTTTTGAAGTTTATGAGAAATGCATTTAGCAGATTTTGACATTAAGATGGATAAGTGTGCATGCAAAGGATAAATAAATCACTAAAACTGTTCAACTGAAAAGAGACAAATTACATTTTGATTACAGAATGCATCATTGTTCAAAATGTAGAATGCAACAGTTAATGTTATTATTGTGCACAAGCGCATTGCAACAAGCTCTGACACAACACTGACAGAGGCGCTGCTTGTCAACAGGCAAGGTAGGCAACTGCTCAGGGCCCCTGAGGGCGGAAAAATGTTTAAACACAGCAGTAGCTCAAAATGCACAAATTTTGCAATGGCAGTAGGAAACCTCCCAAATGGGACTCCATCTGACAGCACTCACTCTCATTGCCCTGCTTAGCATATCATGTATTACTCTTGTGAAAACCACAGTCCATCAATGAAAATCACTGGAAGAGAAGAGCGTTGTGGTTGGAGGGGCCCTTGATTAATTTTTGCCTATAGGACCCCCAGCAGACTGTAGAATCACCACTGAACACTGATAGGCCTGTATTTTAGCCTATTGATATAGACTTGTATTTTAGAGGTGCAGAGGTTTCTTAGAAATGGCTCCTTCATTACATTTTAAAGTGTAATTTAAGTTTTTCCTGAATTCATTTGTCAAATTTATTGCAATATTTTTTAAGTTCCAAGTAATGAAATGCCTTTCCTAAAACAGCTCTGACTCGCCCACGTCTTTTAATTTATGTCCAAATTAAAATTTCCGTCAAAGAATGAGTTGATGGATTTGAATCTGATTGAAGGTTCCTTGATATATGGTCTTCAAATATCACACCCTCTGTGAAAACCTCAGGAGTCATCATAGACTGTATAAAACATGGACGTATAGTCTCAGTGTTACCTATCGTTTTGTTTTTTTTAAGTTTTGAAGCCCTTCAATGGCCGTTGTCATGTCGTTGTCTCAAAATAACTTTCAGTCAATCGAGAAACAGGCAAATAGTTGGAGTTGAGTTGGGCCTTAAGCCTTCTGACAAACAATCCCGCCTGCCCACCTCTAACTATGACTAACTCTCAGCCTTAATATCATCAAAATGGATGAGTTATACCCTGTACAATGTGGGCAGATAAAGACATGAGGAATTCACTAATGTGTGATTTTTAACAGGGCTGTAAACATGTTTATTTCTGCTGGAACAATGGGCATTTTAGAATGGGTGCATAATGTGACTCCTGGCGCTTTGCAACCAGCAACTGCAGATTGTTGTACTTAAAATGAAAATTAAAATGTGTGTTTTTACTGCAGAAGTAAACATGTTAAAGCTTGACGCAAACAAAAGTTTTCATCTGAGTTGATCAAAATATTCAATTCTAGACCAGGGGTCCCTAAACTTTTCATCCCACAACCCCCCCAAAAAGGGTACCAGAGACTGGGGACCCCCACTGTCCCTGAAAGTGGTAAAGGTATATATAATCTAATGCATAGTCATGCAGACACACTAATGGGCCTGTCCAAACAACAATACAATACTTTATTGTCCCCCAGGGCAGAAATATGTTTTCACAGCTTGGCACGGTTGGTACACACAAAGAAAACGTGTAACAGTAAGTATGAACATATACCACAGGTAGAAAACACATAACAAAGAAGGGGCCAGTCAGCATGAAAGCTTGTTTAGAACTTCAATCGCTGAGGGGACAAAGCTCTTTTTGAACCATGCCCTCAGGGGTTCTATATCTCCAACCTGGTGGCAGAAAAGAAAAGAGAGGATGGAGTGGGTGAGAGGGGTCCTGGGCTATGGTGAGTGCTCTGTGAGTCAGGGCTCTGTACTGGTGACAAAAGAACAACACAAAAGAATGAAGCAGCCTAAAAAAACATTTAAAAAAATTCAAATAATAATTTATCGTTAAAGGCAAGAAAGGCAGACTTTCATTTGAAGTATTTTATAAATTAATTTCATTTTCATTTCACCCAATGATGTGTTTTTATTTTAAATTAAAGTACTTGAACAATTATGGGTAAAATGCTAAATTCTGAATTATTTTTAATCTGTTTTGTTTTTTATAGACGGCATCCCGAGGCCCCACTCGTAGCTCGTGACCTTAATTTGGGAGCCACTGTTATCTCTTAAAGGGACAGTGTCTTATTCTTAAAGGGTAGGTAAAACATTTGATTCCTCTACAGACAGTAAATAAGAATCAATAAAACATATAAAACATATATTACCAAATATGAATTAACTTAAACACTTCTGGAATTCAAATTAATTTATTTTGACAAACAAGACATAAAAACAATTATCAAGAAAAATATGAAAATATGAATCAGCATTTTCAGTGTGTTACATGAGGAGTAACTAGGAGCCACTGAAGGGAGGTTGCCAAAAATATGAAGGCGTCTCCTGTTGCGTACATGTACCAGAATTCTCTGACTTGTTTTTAATTTATTTTAACTGTCATTAAAGACCAAAGGAGTGGGGTTAAAATAGACAGCTTTCAGAAGGCTTCAATCAAACCACAATACACTAGATCATACATTTAAAAATAAGCTTTCAAGTCCAAGCTACAAGTTCCTTCTTTGGACTTCATTTAAATATTTCTCTCTCCATCTGTGTGTTGGTCACAGAGTGGAGGTTGGTTCATGCTGTTGAATTTACACAAAGGGATTATGGTCCCTGGTCAATGATACTAAATGTTTTTCAGGAAATCCTATTTAAATTGCCAGTATAGAATAAAAGACACAAACCAATCAGAAACAGCTTATTTATTTAGTAATTTTCTGACCACAGTGAGTTTGTTCCCTCTGAGGTGACAATAAAGCAGAGACAGCTGCAGTGTGAGGCGGTGCAGGTAGCTGTCATTATATAGATGGACTTTGGGCTCTGCTCCCTGGGTGACCAAGTTATGAATCTCAGCTGTAATAGGAGCTCTCTCAGCTATGTTGTCCACAGGTCTTTGTCTTCTTGGCAACACAACACTTTTCTACTCCCCTTCAATACTCACTCATAGCAAATCTAGATTATTGACAGATCATTTATGTATATATCTTTGCTGCCATATACATAACAGGTAGCCATCCCCCGCCCAAACTAACAGTAAAATTAGATATCCTTAGAGATGAGTGTCTCGTTTTCTTTAGTTAGAGGGATGTTACAGGCAGGCTAATGAAAGTGCAAACCCTTAGATTTCAGTAATTGACTATTTTGGGCCCACTTTCTGTTCTCTTTCTGTTCTCCCTGAAAATGATTCGGTGATTCACTTGAACAGTCGCACAAACAATACAGTTGAACACCATGTATTTCATACTCAACATAATAATGTCCACCACCACATCTCCCGCTATAACATCTTCACACTTATAATAAAAAAGTATCCTTTTTAACTTCCACAATAGTATACAATTCATAAGACAAAACTCTTATTTCAAGCGACAATAGTAATTCTACTATTCTTTAAGCAGACGATATTTTACAAAGAGATGAACATCAGAGAGGAAGTACAACACAAGCAAGGATCTAGAGAGGAGGAAACAAACAGCTTTAAGTCTGATTGAACAGACAAAGTGCTGACAGTCAGGGCACAGAGGCAGAACATTTTTTGTTTTAATAATTAAAGCAAATATACAACATCGAAATCTGTTCTTGAGAGTTCTTATCAGCATCAATACCATCCTGACTATCATCATCATCATCTTCATCAAAATCATTAAGTGTGTAGGCGTTCATGAAAGAATTGAGTCTTTAGCTTTTTCTTTAGTGACTGAGATTACAGATAGATACATGCAGTAATATGATGTACTGTATGTGCACAGAGAGAGAGAGAGAGAGAGAGAGAGAGAGAGAGAGAGAGAGAGAGAGAGAGCTCAAGGTGCCAGTTCCCCGGTAGTCTAAGCCTATAGCAGCATAACTAAGAGCTGGTCTACACCACAGCCCTAACTATAAGATTTATCAAAAAGGAAAGTTTTAAGTCTATTCTTAAAAATACAGACTGTGTCTGCCTCCCGACCCCGGCTGGAAGGCAGTTCCAGAGGAGAGGAGCCCGATAACTGAAGGCTTTACCCCCCATAGTACACTTAGAGACTGTAGGTACCACTCGTAGGCCTGCATTCTGGGACCATAATGTTCTCGAGGGGCAGTATGGCACTAGTAGCTCCTTAAGATAAGATGGTGCCTGGCCATTTAGAGCTTTGTGAGAAGAAGGATCTTGAATTCTATTCTAGACTGTATAGGGAGCCAGTGCAGAGAAGCCAACACAGGAGTAATGTGGTCCCTTTTCCTAGTTCTAGTCAGTACACGAGCTGCAGCGTTCTGAACTAGTTGAAGAGTCTTTAGAGACTTACCAGAGCACCCTGACAAAAGAGAGTTACAATAATCCAATCTAGATCTTGGATATATTACGAAGGTGAAAATAGGCTGTTCTTGAAATTTGCCTGATGTGAGAGCTAAAGGACATATCTTGATCAAATAGAACTCCTAGATTCCTAACAGTGGTGCTAGATGCCAGTCAAATCACTAGAAAAAGTCTCTCTGAGGTTTTTAGGGCCTAGCACAATAACTTCAGTCTTGTCTGAGTTAAGTAGCAAAAACATTTCTGGTCATTCAGGTCCTAACGTCCTTAAGGCACGTTTCTAGCTGACATAACTGACTGGTGCCATCGGGCTTCATTGATACATAAAGCTGAGTATCATCTGCATAACAATGAAACTGTATGGAGTGTTTCCTCATAATATTTCCCAGAGGAAGCATATATAATGTAAAGAGAATTGGTCCAAGCACTGAACCTTGTGGGACTCCATGGCAAACTTTGTGTGCATAGAGGACTCATCATTAACATGTACAAGCTGAGATCGGTCTGATAAGTAGGATTCAAACCAACTTAAAGCAGTCCCTGTAATTCCAAGTAAGTGTTCTAGTCTGTATAATACGATCTGATGGTCAATGGTGTCAAAAGCAGCACTAAGATCAAACAAGACGAGCACAGAGAGAAGTCCCCTGTCTGAAGCTAGAAGTAGATCGTTTGTAACTTTAACTAGTGCAGTCTCAGGGCTATGGTGGACTCTAAATCCTGACTGAAACTCCTCAAATAAACTGTTGTCATGGAGAAAGTCACATAGCTGATTAGCTACCACTTTCTCCAGGATCTTCGAGATAAAAGGAAGGTTGGATATAGGCCTATAGTTAGCTAGAGTTCCTGAATCTAGAGTAGGCTTTTTAAGTAGAGGTTTGATTACCGCTACTTTAAATGCCTGTGGTACATAGCCTGCCAGTAAAGACGAATTGGTCATATTTAATATAGAGTTGCTAACTAAGGGAAGGACTTCCTTAAACATCTTGGTTGGGATTGGGTCTAAAAGACAGGTTGACGGTTTCGACGCAGAAAAAATGGAATATAGCTCTGAAAGGTTGATTGGAGAAAAACAGTCTAGACTAATATCTGGTCCTGGAACTGTCTCTGCCGTATCAGACACCAGCTGCACCAGGTAAGGGCAGGAGGTTACTAATTTTGTCTCTGATATCTAGAATTTTGTTGTTGAAAAAGCTCAGGAAATCATTACTGCTGAGGGCTAAAGGAATACAAGGCTCAATGGAGCCATGACTCTCTGTCAGCCTGGCTACAGTGCTGAAAAGGTATCTAGGATTGCCTTTGTTTTCCTCGATTAGAGAGGAGTAGTAGGCAGCCCGAGCGTGACGTAGAGCCTTCATATATTTTCTATGACTATCCTGCCAGAATAAACGGGATTCTACCATTTTGGTCGAGCGCCATATTCTTTCAAAATTCTGGGACGATTGTTTTAGAGAACGGGTTTCTGAGTTGAACCATGGAGCTATTCTCCGCCGCTTGACAACCCTCCATTCCAGCAATGGAATCAAGAGTAACTCTCAGCGAATCCACTGCACTATCAACAAACTGATCTAGCTGAGAGGGACTAAAGCTATCAAAGAGTTTCCAACTGGGTTGAAACACGGTACCGACTTCTAGAAAGCACTTTTTTTTTTCTTTCTTTTTTTTTTAAGCAGAAATAATTCTGGTAGGACAAAGTCGAATGTAATAAGGAAATGGTCTGATAGAAGAGGATTTTCTAGGAAAACTCTAAGGTTATGGATTAACCATAAGCTAAAACAAGATCCAGGGTGTGGTTGAAACGATGAGTAGGTTCGTTTACATCCTGGGTGAAACCAATAGAGTCTAACAGTGACATGAAGGCTGTGCTAAAGCTATCATTATCAACATCCACATGGATATTGAGGTCACCTAAAACAATTATTCTATCACTGCTAAGGACTAAATCTGATAAAAAAAATTCTGCAAATTCAGATAGAAACTCAGAATACGGGCCAGGAGGACGGTAAACTACAACAGCTAGAACTGGCTGAAAGGTTCTTGAGACTGGATGTGAAAGACTAAGAACAAGGCTTTCAAAAGAAGAAAAAATCAGCTTTGGTCGAGGGTTAACTAGAAGACCAGAATTAAAAATAGCTGCTACTCCACCACCTCGTCCGGTGTCTCGAGGTATATGAGTACTAAAATAACTGGGAGGAGTGGATTCATTTCATCAAATGGAGTTTGGTAGTCCGTTCCACCACCAGGGGGCGACAGAGGAAAAAAGTCTAAATAGAGACTTAGGGCCCTGTTGTGAAGGTTGGATCAGACGCCCACTCTTCTCCCCTCATTTCCATATTCACCTCTCCTGTCCAAATAAAGGCAACCCCCCCCCAGTAAAGGGCGTATATTTTTAGTTCTATATTCCTTTTCTAGGTTGATACATAACCAGACAGTCTTTTACATTTTTAAAAGACCAAAATGTCAAATTGAGAGTGCCTGTAGTTGCAGCTTGTTTTTGAGGTGTTTTTATGGCTTACTCGGTCCCTTTGATCTTATTTGTGGGTAACTCTATTTCTCTCTTTGTCCGTCTTCTCTCTTTTTCTTCAATCTTCTGTCTGGCTGTGGAGCCTGCATGTTCACAAGAACTCCTCTGCCGTAACGAAGTGATGTTCCCATACTCCCAGTAGCATTGAGGCCTGAGCCTACCCAGAGTCCTCCAGCACGCCCTGCGAAACGTGTGGGAGGAAATACAGAACAGCAACGGGTCCAGAGCCCCGTTGATGTACCACAGTGGAAGGGACAAGTACGTCTTCAGCACAGTGTAGACAGTAAGAACGGTGTCAGACCAAACCACCACGTAGACCTGCATCAGTGACGAGGCGATGTCCGGGAAGTTGCAAACAAAAAAGGCCACCACAACAGCTCCTGGAAAACAAAACATAGTTAATATACTAGAAACTTATTGGAAACCCCCAAGAAACCTTTGCTCAATATTGGAAGCATGCTTTGGAGGAGAAGTCTCTCTACTGCTATCTTATTGAATTGGAGAAGTTGACCGTAGCTTAATGTTTGAAGGATTAGTCACAGATTCAAAAATGTTGAATGACCGGAATAATTTGATGTGGTTTTATGTCATTTTCTTTATTAATCATGCAGTTAAGGATCAAAGTAACAGTTCCAATGTGTAACATTATGGGTAACATTCAAACTGCCCTGACTAGGTTAAACTATGGTGCAAATACACTGCAACACTTCAAAAGCTCTTCATGATGGGAGACGGACCGCAACCATCGAGTGTAAAAAAACATGGACGTAAGTTCAGTGATTTCACCCATTAGTTTCTGAGTGGAGTTTGGAAGCCCAACAATGGCGTTCACAATGTTTGACATGCAACATGTCCAATAATCAACCTAGAATCAGGCAAAGAGTTGCCGGGTTTTTAGCCTTCTGCTGCTACAACACTCACCAGTCATTCAAATCAGCCAGAATAAGAATAAGAAGTTAATGACTACAGACCGAAGCCATTTGTTTTGTAAAAGATGAACATTTTTTGGATTCTGCTGTAAAAATGGGAATTTTGACTTTGCTTTTGGAGCTGCATTTTTGGACACTTTAGCATTTTTCATCGCACAAAGTCGCCGATTATTTGCATCTTCAGAAACAAAGTCAAATCCAGAACTCAAGTAATGTCTTGCTAATGTTCAACGGTTTTCTTTGTAGAGACGGACCAAATTAGACCGAGGGATAATGATGTGGGAGCCATTATTATTAAATCTTACAAGTGCTACATGTGATCTGACATCGATCATCTACCATTGACATCCAAAATGTTATTACGAATACTGTCTACATTAATGTCAGTTTTCATTTTCTTTTCTTATTTATTTCACATCATATCAGTTTGATTGACATTTCATAATAATCCTGCTAATGCAGGGCCCTGTCATAGTGGCAATTATTTATTCCAGGGGAATTCTGCACAAAAACTTTTAATTTAATTAAACGTTTAATTTAAATGGAAATTCAATGATGAACTGGATTAACTTGCAGAGGCAAAGTGAAATTGTAAACTTTGAACTTGGAAAATTGCGCAATTAACCATTGCCAACTGTGCTGACAATGCTGACATCTGCAGGAAATGAGAAAATGGATGATGCTGCAGTAGCATACAAGTATGCACTCTAAATCACCCTTTTCTATTGGAATACAAACTGATAAAGTCATTTACATTTTTGCAGCAATTCCCAAGTCAGGACTAGGCGTCATAGCAACAAATTTGTCTTGTTAGCTAATAACAGTACAGTCACTAAGCTCTCTGCATCACCAGCTTTGAGAAATATCTTTGACATGTTATTCAGTCTCACTTTTTAGATTGACGGGAAACTTCTACCTTTACTTCATTTGCCTGCGATAAATCAAAGACCCTTGGAGATTTGCAATGCAACAATCTTTTTTTCTTTTTTTTTTAGAATTTAATTTAGTTGTTTACTTTAGAATTGAATGGCTCACCCATAAGTTTCAGAGCTCTCTTTTCATTTAAAAGTAGCTTTCCATTTTGATGGCACTGGACTTCTCGTCTTCCTTCTGGATCTGTCCGAGTCAGACCCATGTTCCTCCTCTGACGCCCGTTCTTCTTTAGGTAGAGCAAGATGAGCATATAGAGTGTAAAGATGGAGATCAGTGGCACCTGTAGTTGTAGAGGCATAGTGAGTGCCTGCTTTTTTTGTTTTGAAGATGAGCTAAAAAAAAGCTTTTGAATAGCACTTATCATACCAGAAAGAAGAACCCTGCCCTCAGGAGTAAAGCTCCTTTGTAGATTGGGGCAGGATAAGGCTCTGTCATCTCACACATGGTTGAGACATGAAAGGCGTCTTCTCTTCTGGTGGCTGTGTAGTCCAGGATGCAGGCCCAAGCCTGGTCATAGACCAGAGCAAAGGGCACAGCTGATACGAGAGAGACGATCCATACCAACAGAAGACAGGGCAGCCGAGACTTCTGTTGGAAAGAACAGAAGAATGCGAGGAAATTCAATTTAAATTCAACAGTAGAGTTGTATGAATTGCTTATATAATCTACACTTATTGTATTTCTTCCAATTGTCTTCCTTCTGTTACGCAATTAGTGAAAATGGCATATTCTATAACCATTTCCATCCTCTTCTGTTGTAAATGTAATTCTATTATATTAGTATTTCCTGGGTAAAAGTACCCCGTTCTACTCATTCTTTCTGTCTGAAAATGTTTAAAGCATGTTGTTTCTCCCCCAAAAATGGGCTTCTTAAAAAGGTCTGCAGTGCTACTTTGAACATAGAAATGTCATGTACTGGGATACATGACCTTCTCTGCATTGTTGTATTCACTCTCTTCTGAAATGTATCTTAAATACAGTAAACCTAACAGAAAATTATTTAATAAGGAATTCCTTCCACCTTGTTTTATTTGTGTTTTTTGCATTTTATTTAATCTCTATCATCAGTAATTGCAGTTCATGTAGACAACTGTCATGAGTAATATTTTCGAAGTTTTCGACCTTCAAGCTGGAAACAGACCACATGGTGTGGCAAATGGCTGCATAGCGCTCGGTGGTGAAGATCATTATAACCCAGCTTGTGGTGGCACAGTACACTTGGCGGACCATGAAGTAGACCTTGCACACCACTTGGCCCAGACGCCATGGGTAACTCTCCCAGTAGTACCGGTACAAAGTGACTGGGATGGTCAGCAACTGCAGAATGTCTATAATTCAAAGGCAGAAAAAGGTGATTGTATAAGAGCGAAATTAAACTGATAAAATAAGCTATGATATGATTAGATAATATATCAATCAGATAAAACAAGATATGATAAGACATGATATCATACGCCATTAATGATTATACTGTACAGGCAGCTGAATGTGTGCAGCACTTGTGACCAAAACAAATTTCCCAAAGAAGCCAATGCAGTATATTGTATCGTATTGTATCGTATCGTATCGTATCGTATCGTATCGTATTCTATCGTACTCTATTGTATTGTATCGTATTGTGTCGTATTGTATCGTATTGTATCGTATTGTATTGTATTGTATCGTATTTTATCGTATCGTATTCTATCGTATCGTATCGTATCGTAGTGTGTCATATTGTATTGTATTGTATCATATTGTATTGTATCATATTTTATTCTATCGTATTGTATTGTATCGTATCCTGTTGTACTGTATCGTAGTGTGTTGTATTGTATTGTATTGTATTGTATTGTATCATATCGTATTGTAACGTATCGTATCGTATTGTATCGTATCGTATCGTACCGTATTGTATCGTATTATATCGTATTGTATCGTATTATATCGTAGTGTATCGTATTGTATCGTATTGTATCATATTGTATTGTATCATATTTTATTCTATCGTATTGTATTGTATCGTATCCTGTTGTACTGTATCGTAGTGTGTTGTATTGTATTGTATTGTATTGTATTGTATCATATCGTATTGTAACGTATCGTATCGTATTGTATCGTATCGTATCGTATCGTATTGTATCGTATTATATCGTATTATATCGTAGTGTATCGTATGTATCGTATTGTATTGTATTCTATCTGAATTTATTGTATCGTATCGTAGTGTATCGTATTGTATTGTATCGCATTGTATTGTATCGTATCGTATCGTATCGTATTCTTTCGTACTCTATTGTATTGTCTCGTATTGTCTCGTAGTGTATCGTATTGTATCATATTGTATTGTATCGTATCGTATTCTATTGTATCGTATTGTATCGTATCATATTGTATCGTAGTGTGTCGTATTGAATTGTATTGTATCATATTTTATTCTATCGTATTGTATTGTCTCGTAGTGTATCGTATTGTATCGGAATGTATTGTATCGTATCGTATTCTATTGTATCGTATTCTATTGTATCGTATTCTATCGTATCGTATTGTATCGTAGTGTGTCGTATTGAATTGTATTGTATCATATTTTATTCTATCGTATTGTATTGTATCATATCCTGTCGTACTGTATCGTAGTGTGTTGTATTGTATTGTATTGTATTGCATTGTATTGTTTTGTATTGTAACGTATCGTATCGTATCGTATAGTATCGTATTGTACCGTATTGTATCGTATTATATCGTATTGTATCGTATTGTATCATAGCGTGTCGTAGAGTGTCGTATTGTATTGTATTCTATCTGAATTTATTGTATCGTATCGTATCGTATTGCATCGTATTGTATCGTATCGTATCGCATAGTATCGTATTATATCGTATTGTATCGTATTATATCGTATTATATCGTATTGTATCGTATTGTATCGTAGCGTGTCATAGAGTGTCATATTGTATTGTATTCTATCGTATTGTATCGTATTCTGTAGAATTGTATTGTATTGTATCGTATCGTATCGTATTGTATCGTATTCTATTGTATTTTATCGTTCTAAAGGTACAGTTAAAAGTCTGAGAGTCACACACAAGGGAATTATCTAAAAAGAAGTATTTAATTAAATGTAAAGTGTAGGATTAAATGAAATATTACTACAATATACTACTACAATATACAGTTGTAGTAGTACTTTAATAGCATGTACCTGATATGACGAGGCTAAGGAGATAAAAACGGATAGCGCTGACTCTCATATGAGCATCCAAGAGGAGGGTCAGTATGCTCACACCATTAAATATGACCTGTGGAGCAATAGGGAGCAAATTATATTCCTATAATCACAGAAACTAGTTCATGTTGTATTTCAGAAGGTCAATTTGGCCCTTATGTAACAAATAAATAGCAAATAAAAAGGTACATACTCCAAACAAAAAGATGATGCTGTAGAAGAAAGTCATGGGGACGGCAATCGTCAGTGGCTCGCTTTTGGTGACACTGATGTCGAGCTGTGGCGTCTCGCTCGGGCTGACATTACAGCTGAACAGGAATGGAATGTGCTCGGAGAGGTTCATGCTGAGACAGCTGGATGATAAGTGGAAATTAAAGAAAAGTAGTCTATAAACTCCATGAATGAGCCGAAAAAAATATATATAATGATTTACATTTCCAAGTTCCTCCATTTAGATTTAAAAAAAAGTAATCGATGTGATGCCAATCATGTTTCCTGGTAACAAAAACTGTTTTGATCAGACATCATTGATTGAACAATTTTCTAAATGAGGCCAGTGTGTTATTATCAGTGTGCACACTTCACGTTACTCTTTCTTTCTTTTTTTTTGCAAATTATTATTTCCTTTTTGTTATATATCATAAATGTCTTATATTTGACACAAGGTTTAATGAGTTCAAAGAAAAGTACAAGTACAGTGAACTGATGTTCACACAATTATTTTCAGCATCATTTTGGTAATCATTATGAATATTTGAACTTGACCTCACAGTAAGCATGTCTAAACATGTACAAATCCATTCAAACAGATATTTTAAGAGAAGAAGAAACCCGACATATTGAGCACACAAATCACAGACTGTAAGCCATAGAGAACATATTGTCTCAGAAACCTGTTGCTTTTTTCCCGATCAGATCTTGTGAAAAGGGAAATCATCAAAACAATCGTAAACACAATGGAAGTGCACCAACGAGGAGGCACAGCATGCATATGCAGTGTAATTATGATTACAGGTTAAACAATTCATTCTTATTCAACTGGAATTTGACAGCACTAATTAAAAAAACTGACATGAATCCCCCAGTACAACCAGTTTCACTTCAAATTCCAGGAGCAAAATAATGAATAATTTCAGAACCCTCTGTGCACATTCCCATTTGACCTTTTTGAAAGAAAATAATCAATAATGGCTTGACTTACCGTTTTTTACAGCTGAAAACCGAAGAAGTCTAGCACCTCTCTTCACAAGCACAGAAAAACACCTGTTTGGCTGTTTCCCTCCATCCCTCTCTTGGCTCTTACTCCCTCTCTCCCTTCAGACTCTCCTTCAGCTCCTCCTCCTTCCTCTCCCCCGTGCAGATTGTCATTCAGATACAGATGGTCACAGCTAACAGAATTTCATGTCAATGCAGCTTTTCCAGCATGCAAGACCGATTGACAGCCAAATGAAAATTAGAGAATTATTGAGGCTTAAACGATGACCTTTCCTCCTATTTCAATAGCCTTTATTGACATTATACAATGATACAACAAAATGATTAAAGCTTCACCTTAAAGTGCACACACATACAGGCATCCACAGTTACAAACAACTTACATTCAGGTAAGATGTACAATGCGTGTGTAGAATTATTTACAGGAGGTATTATAAATTAGGACTTCTATATTACAAGATATATTAGGACTTTTTGTGCAAAGACCGTCTTTCTGGACATTTCATGTAGATCATGTTTAATACTGTATGATTGCAACAGATGCTACACTGAAGTTAGGACATTCAAAGGTGCTTGGGACCCTTGCTACCATACAGAGACTTAAATTGAAACCCATTACTGGTCGCCATCAGACCAAAGAAAAGTTAGTCTTTACCAGAAATTTTCAAAAACATTTTACAACCACTTTTTTGCACCAAAACAGGCAGCGGGTTCCCATAATGTTACTGTTTAAAAGAGATTTATGAACATACAGTATGCGTCAACTACATATGGCTCAAACCCAATCTCGGCCCTAAAGCCGAAGCGCCAAAGCCACGGCTGAAGCGATTTCCCATAACGTAACTGTGGGCCATGTGTGCATACAATCTGAGCCAATTCAGCCCAACAACAATCTCTACCCTAAAGCCTTAACACTGACCATGCTGACCTTAATGGCATCAGGCATGCAGTGTGAATAGAAATGAGGAATGGGACATACAATGGAATCACAGGTTGCCTAGAAACAAGATGTGTCTTTTGGTAATGAGCTCACCCTCTCCTGTTTGTATTTGTGTATCTTACATGTATTAAAGCAAACTATCCACCCCAGAAATGCTATCACTGTTACTCCTTTGCATAAAAACCAACACTTACCCAAGAAATACCCGGAAAAGTGATTAAAAGATAAAGATAAAAGATAAAGATAAACTTTATTGACCCCCCCGTGGGGGAAATTTGTGCATTACAGCAACTCCAGAAAACAGGGGACGGGAATATACTTCTAAAAAATAAAAATAGAAGTTAAAATCAAATCAAACATATTTACATCATTTAAATAAAAAACATACAATAATGTAAAATTACACAGTAACTAAGGGATTGTTCTTAAAAAAACACACACAGTGTGTAGCATGAGGTGGTGATGTTGTTAAAGAGTCTGATTAATCTTTCTGACGGCAGATGGGATGAACGACCTGCGGTAGCGCTCTGTCTTGCAGGGTGGGTGTCTGAGTCTGCTGCAGAAGGAGCTGCTCAGGGTCCCCACAGTGTCATGCAGGGGGTGAGAGGGGTTGTCCATGATGGATGTCAGCTTCACTAACATCCTCCTCTCACCCACCTCCTCCTAACATATAGCTTAAGTTATATCTTATAAACGTACTGCCATTTTCCCCCCATCACGTCTGGGTTTTGTTTTAACTAACTTTGTTATAACTATATTATATAGTTATTATAACTGACTCAACATACAAACAGTTGTGTAAACCGAATGGGGGCTGGACAATCTCTTGGTGTTGAAAAACTAGGCCAACACGGAAGTGAAAAATACTGTAGTTCCCTCGAGTGTCCACTTGAGGCGCCAAAAGCCCCCGAAGAAATCGGCAACCTCCTGGGTTGAAAAAGGAAGCCAATGCAGAAGTGCGTAAAACTGCAGTTTCTTGAGTGTCCACCTGAAGCAGGCTCATGGAGACCCAGAAGTCACATACACACTGTGACGGCACTCCCACCAGCAGGGCCTGCTGTTGTGTTTCCCTTCTGTCTGTGTGTGTCTCGTATAGGTGCAGGCTATTCAAGACCGGGCTGATAATGTCTCACTCGCTCTCATCCATCCTCGGTGTCACACCATTATCAGAGATATTATACTGAACTATGTTGGTTGTTGGTTGATTGTGGTATTGTTGGATAATAAACCTACACCCTTTGTTTGAAAACTGTATTTTCTCGTGTTTTTGTCAGGCTTTAAGAACCGGGTTGTGACAACACCCAATTCAAAAATTGCCTCTTTTTACAGCAGAAATACATTTCTTTACAGCCTGGTACAAAAACGATCGGGTCTGATTAGTTATTGTCTGCATCAGCATACACTGTATGGGGGCTGAATTTTTTTATGTATGTAGGTTTGTCAAGAGGCTTAAAACTCACCCATTTGATTATATGAAGGATAACTGGCAATTTCCACATGATAGGTGTGAATAATGTTCCACATCCGTAGTGTCGCCCTACCCCACTGGGTCCAAACTTAAGCCCAGCGGTGTGCAGCCATGAGCGACTGGACTCTTTGGTTCACAAGATCACAGGAGAACTACAAAATCACACAGGACTAAAGACGGAACTTTGTCGTTCCAAGGATGATTGGCTTTTCAATTGGTGCAGCCTCGACGTATTTCAGCAATGGCCCCATTTCAGTAAATATTCTTATGAAAAAATGCTTTTATAAAAAGGTAAAATTGCTTTTCTCATATCATCCAGACTATTGCTTTCATCATATTTTGAAATGTATTCAGTCCTAAATGCTCAGAATATAGTGTTAGCATTGTTATTCCATCAACACATAGACTTGTTGGTCTCGCCTAAATTCATGCTTGGGCTTCAAAAGAAAACAAAAAGGGTCCAAAGTTTGTTTCCAGCAAGCTATGATTAGCTATCAGATACACTTTTAGGCCCTTTCAACCTTTGTTGTGGTGATATTTCTAGCCTTCCTGACGATTCTGGTGTTGTAGTGTGAGGCTAGGGTAGGCAGACAATGATCTTGGAGGCTCTGTGCACTACTTTCTCTAGCTGTTGTTTATCCTGGCTGGTCGTGTTGCTGTACCAGGACAAGATAGAGAAGGTCAGCACGCTTTCTATGACTGCTCGATAGAAATTAGTCATACCTTTCTGGATAACCCTGAATTTCCTCAGCGGAGGAAGTAGAGTCTCTGATGGGCTGGGCTTTGCTTACAATGAGACTGATGTTCAGGTCCTATGAGAGGGACTGGTGTATGGTGGTTCTAAGAAGTGGAAGGAGGAGACCCTCTCAACAAACTGGCCGTTGATGGAGAGGGGGAGATGTTGGGCTGCCTTCTTTCTAAAGTCAACTATGAGCTCTTTGGTTTTAGATGTATTGAGGATTAGGTTGTTGTCCTCACACCACCTCACCAGCTGTTCTACTTCACTCCGGTAAACAGATTCATCACCACTTTGAACATGTTAAAGTTTACTTACCGTTTTTTTTCCAGTGACATACACAATTCACACTGTTGGGCGAGTAAATGCTCTGGGATCTGCAGATGCATCCCCTAGTGTGCACTGCAGATCCCTGCACTCCTCACCATCATTCACAACAAAGTCTGACTACCAGCACACCAAAAGCTCACTATAAACCTAAATGAAATGACTTAAAGCTTTAGAAAAACAAAATCTCAGATCAAATATTAAAAATGCCTCTTTTTGTATGTATGTTACACATTAATAAGACAATCGTTTTTGGTCATACTTAAACAGGCAAGTCAACCTTTTAATGCTGCAAAGAACAAGTACTCCCCCTAAGTTGACTATTTTGAATGCAATACAGACACAAAAGGTGTCGAAAATCACTATTGAACATGGGTGTGCTTGTACTTGAAGGTTATTTTTGTATTCTGTTCAATAATGTTAGCTGTTCGTCTTTGTTATACTCAACCAGCTATTAACGAGAGCTTTATATTTTCATCGACCTCTTTCTCATCACACCCTGTCCACCCAGTGTTCAATAAAGCACACGCTGCTCTCGCTTTCTGTCTTTGCATTTGGAAATACTTAGTAGAAATTTCCATTTTCTTTTGAGCATCAACCGTTGATGTTGTCCTCGTATCGCCCGTGTTGTCATATGAGTGCTCCTGCTTAAGACAAATCGTCCCTTTGTTGGACAATGAAGAGATGGGACTCTGATAAATTCTTATCTTAAACCCCATTTTCAATAAAACACATATTTTAAATGATGATACACCAACCAAATATTCATCATTGTTTACACTGAATTAAGTAGAAGAACTAATAAGTTGTTCCCTTATATAAAACAATAGAGCAACATTTGAGAAAGCATATTTATTGTGCAAATACAAAAATCCTTCACATGGAGAATACGATTTCTTTACATCATTTTCTATAAATACAAATATTACAAACATTTTTATTTCAAAGAACAGTCCAGAATTTCAAATCAGAAAAAAACAAGAAGAAAGGAAGAAAATAAATGTATAGACGATCATCAAAATCACAAGTGCAAAATCAAAGAGATGTGATTCCATCTTGTGTTATCCCGGCATCTTTCGCCATAGCAAAGAAATGGCCCTTCTTCTCAAGCAGGTTGCTCGGAGAATCAAATTCCACTATTCTTCCAGCGTCGAGCACCATCACCCTGTGGAGAGGAGCACAGGCAAAAATGAAAACCAGCTGGAGAGCGTGTCTACACTGGCTGATAAAACTTGATATTTTCTCTGGAGCTTTTGTGAATGTATATATGTATATGTATATGTATATATTTTGTGAATGTATATATTTTTTTTACTCTTATTTCTATGTGTGCATGCTGTGGTATACATATATGTGGAAAAATCATGAAAAACTGATCATTGAGTTTTGATTGTTCTGTTATAGAAACACCACATATTGTAGGTGGTAATATTGACATCTTGGGGCTCACATGGCAGATTCAGTCTGTTCAATAATATCTAGTGTTTTGTGTTGTGTAGCTACAAATATACTGTATATAAAATTGATAGGGAGAGTGAAAATGCAAGTCTGTACCATGCTATCTGTAGTTCAAACAAGCATTCTACAAAACATAAAAAGACTCTGCAGATGAAATTGCCATTGACAGGAGTGAAATGAGGGCAGAGACACCTCATCAGACCATTTCATGGGGCACCACCTCACCTGGAGCTGTCCATGATGCTGTGCAGACGATGGGCGATCGTGAGCACGGTACAGTGTGAAAACTCTTTGCGTATGGTATTCTGAATCAGGTCATCCGTCTCCAGGTCAACAGCTGCGGTGGCCTCATCAAGAATCAAGATGCGAGATTTCCTCAACAGGGCTCGGGCAAGACACAACAGCTGCCTCTGCCCAACACTGTGAAGAGAGAGAGGCAGAGAGAGAGAGAGAGAGAGAGAGAAATTCCAATGAGTGCTTTTGGAAAATATTGAGTAGGAAATGACTCCCAATTTGCTTCTCTATTACATGCTAAAAAAGCACTAAAGGCTGAGCTGTGAAGATGACGCATATTGATATGTTAGGCTGCAACTGTGCAGCAAACTGACCAGAAAATGATTTACCAGAACATGCATGGTATTTATATTGATAATTGATAATCCTCTAAAACGTTGGCCTGTAATATATGACCCAGTAAGCATCAAGACACATCTGTTGAGTCCGTTTCTCTACACTCTGTAGATTGCAGAATACATTCTGATTGATATCTGCCTGGCACGATTGCACAGCTGTGGCGCAGACACAATCAGTGTGGTGCATTCTTAAGTGATACTTGTAAGTATGTACATGCATGAGCTGGCTCAGTCAGAATCAAAGGATTGCTATGTGAGAGTGTTCAGGGAGGACCCCTTCTCCTCCCCTGCCACCTCCTAAACTATGATTGGCTATTTACCTTGTCAGAGGCAAACGTATACAGCATTTCTATTACGATTTTTGTGCTGTGCTGCAACACATTTTTTATTTTTTTTTTATTTCATTTTGATGTTGCACATTTCCATTTGCTAAAATTGAATTACTGATTTAGGACATCTTTTTGTTAGTCCTTTTAAAATCATGCTCAGCAGATTTAATCTTGCCACTCTGTTGTTTTTACTTTCTAAAAATAATAAGAATATATATATATGCAGGAATAAAATATCTCTAAGATACTTTAATGTTAGATTTTGCAACAGCTGAGTCCTGCAGGTGAATCCACCTGAGGGTCACCTGGTCGGAGGCTCTTAAAAGTTCAGCTGTGTCTTCTTGTTTTTTGTTAATTTAGTCTATAGTTGGTCTTTGTTTGATCATTTAGTTCGGCTGTGAGTAAAATCCCTTTTGAGTGTTTTTTTTAAGGTGTTTTGATTGACAGGGTTAAACATGGCACCCTTAGTCACCATTTGGTTTGGATATGGAGTGAGCTTTGTCATAGAGAGCTGCTGCTCACACAAACACCCCTCACCAATCAAAAAAAATGGACTGCCTGCTTTAAAGTCATCAAGCTGAAAAGAGACTACTACAGTCAACACTCAACACCAGTGGCTGTTGGCAATCAAACAAAGCCGTGAATACTTGGCATGAGGACAATGCTAATTTTAAGAGTAATAAGGTGGAAGAGCTGCTGTGCCTTTTTCTTATCTTTTGATTGCGGAATAAATTTCATAACAAACTTCAACACAATAACCACAACATATTCAAACCCAACGTCGGAGAATTTGACAGAAACTTTGATGAAGGTATTGTAAAATAAGTGTTGAAATGAATCCATTTCCATTCACCACAAAAGATCTTTAATAATTATAAGGCTGTTGTGGAAACGGAATCCAGGGGTTTTAATTGGCTGGGTCCACCACACTGGCAGGTACTAATTATGTTTTTGTCCTTTTTGTGATGTAGAAGAGAAGCCTTTATTTCTAGTGCCCACCTGAGGTTCTCTCCCCCCTCTGCGACTTCATGCTGCAATCCTTCCTGCAGCCCTGTCACGTATTCCTTCAGATGGGAGAGCTCCAATACTCTCCAGATGTCGTCATCACTGAATCTGTCGAACGGATCCAGGTTCATCCTCAGAGTCCCGGAGAACAACACCGGATCCTATATGCCCACAGAGTTCAAGGGGTTAGTTATAGTCATGAAAGCATGGAAGAAATGTGAATCAGTTTATGTGTATACCTGTGGTATGATAGTGAGGCGGTTGCGAAGATCATGCAGGCCTATTGTGGAAATATCTATATCATCGATGAGGATACGACCTTCAGCGGCTTCAATTGTTCTGAACAGGCAGTTAGTCAGACTTGATTTTCCAGCTCCTGTGCGGCCGACTATGCCAATCTGAATTCAGGGAGAGACAGCTCATGAAATCAAACATAATGGTAGACAAGACACATCTTAACATATATTTCTTACACCAACAGTCACTGACAATCTAAACACAGCATGGTTATATCAAACACAAAAACAACTCCCAGGCAATAATCTGTTTCTTTTTCCCATGAGACACTATGTGCTGTCGTACTCATGGTGCACTCGTACTCATGGTGCACTCGTAATGATTACAGGACCGGCAGAGTGAGCCTAACTGTAGTTTTCAGGTGCAACAGTAAGTAAGTGATTGAAACTAGACAACCCTTGAGGGATCTGTTTTATATTTTGCAAACACTTCTACCATTCCCTTTTGTGCAGTGAAAACCTGAGGGATAAAAAGCTCCAGATTCAGGAACAACATACACACTGTTCATTTATATATAGTGCACTCCAGAGATGAGTGCAGCAAAGGGAAAAAAAAACGACCAGATTGGAAATATTGTTTGATAATATGCACCAAATGAAAGGAAAGTAAGATGTACATTTTCTCTGTCTTGTAGGTTTGTCTCTTCAAACACTGGAGAATAAAGTAAAAGATTTGTTTATAGCTCCTGTGAGAAATTTCTATCTAGATATGGAACAGTCTTTAATTAAAACGGATGTCTCTCTATGAGCTGTGGAAGCAAACACGTCCATTCCAACATGTTGTTTGTTATTTTGAATGCCTGAATACGTTATCACTTGGGACGGTGTTAGACGAGGAGATTAAACGCACGCTGCAGAAACAAAACAGCCTTTGTTCACATTTTCCACACCAAGTATAATCAATGAGTGATAACGACTTACACATGCAGAGGACAAGCTCAGTAAAGAGCTAGGATGTACCGCTTTGTCCACCACCACACACCAAAGTTTCCTCACAGGAGCTTGAAGACCCTGCAGTATCTATTTCTAATTTTATTGGATAGATACCTTTCGTTTGATTTTACAGCTTTACAACACATTTTTAAGGTATCTGTTTCTTTTTTTTTTAAAGATTTATTTTTGGGCTTCTATGCCCTAATTGTAGGGACAAGACAGTGGCTGGGGAGCCAGAAGTCAGGGAGAGAGAGAGAGGAGAATGAAATGCAGGGAGAGGAGCCACACGTCGAATTTTGATTCTTGCTTTGAGGAATATATAGCCTCTGCACACGGGGAACATAAACTAACCACAAGTGCCATTCTATGTGGTAATTTTGGAAGTGAATCCATTGTGTCCCTAAAATAGCTTCACCCATGGATAACAGACCATACAGGAAGTGAAGAATCTAGAGATATGCATACAGTAAGCACTTGTGTGTGTGTATGACTGTGTGTGTTTGTTGAGGAGAAAGAGCATGCAGGAGAGAGAGTGCCTACTGAACATGTGTAGCGCAAACTAACCACTAGGCCACCGGCGCCCTAAGGTATGTGTTTCTGACAAGTGCTATTAAATATTTAACAGTAATTGCATAACTAAACAGAAACGTTTATTCAATGTCATGACTTTTCTTTTTCTTTCTGGTTAAAGACAGTTGCTCTAGTAAGATGCCTATGTCTATGTTCAGCATGCAGGGGTCCATGTTCAGCATGTAGGGGTCCATGTTCAGCATGTAGGGGTCTATGTTCAGCATGTAGGGGTCTATGTTCAGCATGTAGGGGGTCTATGTTCAGCATGTAGGGGGTCTATGTTCAGCATGTAGGGGTCTATGTTCAGCATGTAGGGGTCTATGTTCAGCATGTAGGGGTCTATGTTCAGCATGTAGGGGTCTATGTTCAGCATGTAGGGGTTTATGTTCAGCATGCAGGGGGTCTATGTTCAGCATGTAGGGGTCTATGTTCAGCATGTAGGGGTCTATGTTCAGCATGTAGGGGTCTATGTTCAGCATGTAGGGGTTTATGTTCAGCTTGTAGGGGTCTATGTTCAGCATGTAGGGGTTTATGTTCAGCATGTAGGGGTTTATGTTCAGCATGTAGGGGTCTATGTTCAGCATGTAGGGGTCTATGTTCAGCATGTAGGGGTCTATGTTCAGCATGTAGGGGTCTATGTTTAGCTTGTAGGGGTCTATGTCCAGCATGTAGGGTCTATGTTCAGCTTGTAGGGGTCCATGTTCAGCATGTAGGGGTCTATGTTCAGCATGTAGGGGTCTATGTTCAGCATGTAGGGGTCTATGTTCAGCATGTAGGGGTCTATGTTCAGCATTTAGCAGTTTATGTTCAGCTTGTAGAGGTTTATGTTCAGCCTTTGAATTCAGTTCAGAACACAGTCCAACAAACATGTACTGTAGGTATGTAGAGACCCATATACAGACCTTCTCAGTGCTCTGAATATCACAGCTGATTCCATGCAGCACCAGGTCTAATCCAGGTCTGTAGCGGACCTTGAAGTCTTCAAACGTAACTCTTCCGTCTTTGGGCCACTTCTCTGGAGGTTGAGTGTCACTCACCCACTTAGCCTGCAGAAACAGAGGTTCACATTTTAGAAAGGAAATGTTGAGCTATGAGAAGTCAAACTATTCCTGATTCAAGCTTTGAACCAGAGAGACTGATGGTCATCTTTTCTTCTTGTTTACAGAGTGATATGTATGTTAATATGTAAAGGTCATTGCATCTCTTTAGAACGTAGTCTTCAGCAGCTACATTGCATCTATATATATATATATATATATATATATATATATATATATATATATGTATATGCTATAGATGTGCAGGCAATAGAGTAGAAGTGTTGTGCTCGGTCACATATAAATGCTCTTTGTACACTTCAGATGTGCTGTGTCTTTTTCATCTTGTGAAGGGGTCACTACAGTGGTGTAGTGGTGCCTAAAAAAATCGGGTATATCTGCCTCTGTTATAAACAGTGACATGTAAGACTCCTTTTGACTATTTAGAAAGTGCGTATGAGCCAATTAGAGACAGTAGGGACAGGAGAGGGTCATCCAAGCAAAATACCACAGATATTGTCATTCAATCATTGGGGTGAATCAGAGAGGATTTAGAAGTGGGTATACCCTATGGAGACTGAAAAATAAGTGGGTATACTCCCACTATATATGTATATGTATATCCTGCACTGCACCACTGTGTCACTATATGGGTAAAAATATAAAACACAAAACAAAATGGGAGTACACTCCAAATAAGTGTCCCCTTTGAATTGAAGGATTTATGGAACAGAAAGATGCATAATGTTCAGTATAATACGAAATCAAATCAAAAGCAGAGCCCATCAGAAACAAAACCCTGATTTGAAAATTAAATAAAAGAGGATATGGAAAATTAATAAGTTCTTTTAAAACAGAAAAAAACACAACATTTTAAAGGCAACTCGAGAGTTTGTTTTAATTAGGGGTGGGGTTGGAGTAGCACAGAGAATCACTCCCTACTGACAAATCTTTTGTAATAGTTTTGATTGAGAGCCCCCTGGTGGCTGAATTTACAGACTGTGTGTTTTTTTTTACAGTGCTGCATATTTTACAGTATTGAAAGAGTTCCCTTTTGAACTATTCAATCTTGTGACCCCTCCACAAGATGGAATATTATACAGTTCTCATGGGTTTTGTAAAATGTGCAAATGCAGTGAAGTTCACAGAGTCGCTTGTTTTTATGAGAAAAGCTTTCAACTTAACAAACCTCGTTCTCAAGCTCTGTGTATTCGCTCACTCTCTCCACGGCAACGATGTTTGTCTCCAGCTCTGAGGTCATCCTCACCAGCCAGTTTAGGGTCTGAGTCACCTACAAACGGACATAGAGGAGAGAAGAGCGCATCGTTGAGGTTATTACTCTCACCACCTGAAGCATCATAATACAAGAATTCCAATAAAAATGCTCTGCAGTGTTTGAGATGACTGCGCGAGCCACTTACATTAAGGGCATAGGATATAGAAAGTCCAACAAGGCCGCTGTCCAGGGACTTTCTAGAAATAACAGCAAACAGAGCGGAGAAAAACACCACCAGGTTTCCAAGGAACTCCAGACGGATGGCCAACCATCTGCACAGCAAACACAAGCATGAAAAAAAAAGTGATCTTTTCCATGAAAGAATAACAATGTGCTTCGATTTGTTGATTATTTTTCTGTAAGTGAGTGAGTGAGTTCTTTAACCGACCTGTTGGACACTATCCATGGATAGACACTCTTCAGGTTTTCATCTATAGTGGTTTCATTGTGTTGGAGAAAACGATCTTGATGTCCGTAGGCTCTGATTACTGACAGACCTGACACAGTCTCACTGAAATGTGAGTATATGGGAGAGCGGGACACCGAGTCCAGCCGACGAAGCTGCCTTGAAGTAGCCACATAGAAGCGCTAGGTGCAGAGAAAAGATAGGAAATCAACACAGAGCAAAGGAAGGATTTATTTAGATAATCTTATTTATTATTAAGTTGCATAACTTTATGTTAGTTTTCTTTTTCAACCTCTTTTTTTCTCCTGGTCATGTTTTTTTTATCTCATGCTTACCTGTACAAAGAAGTAAACCACAGCCAGCGGAATGATGACGATGGTGAAGAAAGGAGTGGCCAGACAGATGACTAACAGTGTTCCCAGCACGCCCAGCAGACACATCAGCCAGGAGCGGAAGGACTGTGGAATCGCCTCGTCCACTGTGAATATGTCCTTTAAGAGCAGCAATGGGAGAAGCTGGTCTTTATTCTAATCTAATTTCAAGTGACCTAGAACCTAATTAAAGATCCAACCTCACTAGACGTCACCATTTTTTATTAACACCTGTGAAAATGCCAATTTCCTGGTGGATGAGGACACCCGACAGGGGAGGGGGAGGTCTGACAGAGTGAAGTGTCAAATTAATGCTTTAATATATCCTGGCATTCTGACCGCCTGATGCAAACGTACTCAAGTTAAAATCATAAAATGTTAATTATTGAGAGGTCTCAATCGAAAAATTAAAGACAGGAAAACATTTTTAAAAACGTCAACATGATGATCTTTCACCGCTTCACCTCAGCGTGCAGAGCATGGCACTCAGTTATTTTGTTGGTTTGTTTTAATTCTCATTTCTCTGCATCTTGAAATAATGCCCTTAAACCATTGCTGTTAGATGTTGTTTTATGCTCAGGTTTTTAACTCGGCCTGATTCGACTTGTCTGATTGCAGTTGTTGTTTTTATGGTTTTATCCCAGTTGTAGCACTTTGAGATTTCCTTTAAATGTATACTGCATTATAAATAAAATGTATATTTAATATGACGATTACAATAAATATTCCTCAATAGGAATAAAAAAAGGTGAGTACGGGATCCTACCTTTGCAAAGCGGTTGACCACTCTTCCAATGGGCGTCGTGTCATAGAAAAACATGGGAACTCGCAGCATGTTGTTGAGCAGTCGTGAATGCAGGATACGAGATGCAGCGACAGAAGCTTTGGCCATAAGCAGAGTACCGAGGAACACAAAGAGGCCTGCATGAACAAGGGAGAGTTTATCATTTATATGAATACTCGTTCAAACAGTGAAATCTTATCTTAGATGAGTGGAAATAAGTTGCTGCTATTATCTTCATATATTGAAGCTCCAAATGTCACAATGAATATTTGTCTTACAGGGAAAAGAGACTGAATTTGTTTATTATCAAGTTATTTCATTGAATTATTTAAGATCACTTTATTGATTATATATCAATGCACTTTTCACTCTTACATTTTATGTCTTATTATATTTGACCTTCTGTTCCAGCTGTTTTTATTTGATTTTGTGTTGGCTTTGAATTGGCTTGTATTAAAGAGGAGATATTATTTCCCCTTTTCCACCTTTTCAAACCATCCCCTGTGGTCTAAATGAAACATCTGTGCTGTGCTTTGGTCAAAATATAACATGAATCAAGCACCAGAGGAGTTTTGTGACCCTGTATAAACCAGCTCTCTCAGAACGCTCCGTTTTGGTGTGTGTGTCTCTTTAAATGCGATGAGCCCCCCTGAGTTTTCCCAGTAGACATCACTCCTCTGTAGCGAGAATAAAAATGAGGCCCTGCGCTAAAGTTTTGCTCTAGGCTGGGGTTGGAGTCCATGGGTGGAGATACCAGGGGAGGGGAGGGTTTTTTTTTTTTTTTTTAACAGAATCCCACTGTGACATCACAAGGAGAGCAAATTTGAAACGGAGCATTTTCCTCTATGTTGAAAGATTTATGCAGACCACAAACAAAGGACTGGATCTGTTTATTTCACATTTTGTGGGTCGGTAGACACAAATATATGTTCAAAAACACTGTAACAGGGGATTTTTCATAATATGTCCCCTTTAAGAGTTATTAAAAGCGCACTATTATTATTACTATTATTAAACTGTGTTTCTGTAGTCTTTTGTCATGATGTTTTTGATCTCCTGTGAGAGGCACCATGAACTGCCTTGTTGCTGAAATGTAAAATCAACTATATAAATATGGTATAAGGCACATGTCAATCTTCTGCTTTAAAAAATGGAACGATTGTTACAAATAAGGCACACTCACACTGCTGAAAAACTTCAATGCTGTTATACCGGTCATGAATAATTGCTGTAAAAGTGTTGGTGCTTGTTTTGAACTAAATCCAGCATAGTCATCTATGTACTTAAGCAGCATGGTCTACTGTAATCACCTGCAAGCTTTATGGCTGCATATAGCCACACTGGTCATCGCAACAGGTGTTTAATTCAGCTGAACATAAGGTTGATTACCATTATCCAAAAGAGTTACGGAAAACTGCAAAAGAGCAGTCTACTTCTTTGAGACGGCTTCATAAACTTCAGCCGTAAGTCTCAGTGTGGGGATACAAGATCAATTATTCCAAAGGGGTGATCTATATTTCCTCGTCAATATTTCTTTATGCAGATAGCTGTCCAGCAGCCAGAAGATGAGGTAGTTAAATTCCTTTTTTTTCTTTTCAAAGACGACTGCCATACAGCATATAGTGTTATAATTTGAGTCACAATGTGCTGCCAGTGATGGTTTTGTGATCTTTAGGTGTAAGTATTTTTAGTCTTTCATCTGACAGAACTGTGGGCTGCCCATTCTTCGCCCCGTGTTTCATAAAGTTGTACTGTGCGTAATCCACTGCAGTATGCTGTCCTTCAATTTAAACACCCATGCTCAAATGAATCATGTATTGTTTTAGACGTGGCAATGCTGGTATGTTTCTTATATACAGTATGTTATCATGTGCTTTCTCATGGATGAGTCTGTTTTTTTTGTGTGTTTTTTTTTTTTTTGGATTATTGATTATTTAGAGACAGGACCGTTATAGTTGGAAATCAGGGACAGAGAGAGTGGGGAATGACATGCGGGAAAAGAGTCACAGGTTGGATTCAAACTGCTGCCTGCTTGGAGGACTATATACTGATGTGTCGCCTTGTCTGTTTGTTCTCCACATCAACCAGAATGATTTGACATTACAGTCAAATTCTGTTTCTATTCTGACCCAAACTAATCAAGTGAATACAGAGAAATCAAAAAAAGGCTTGGCTCAAATATTAGCCATTCCTGTTGTATGATTTACCATTTAACATACAGAAAGTAGATTGCATTTGATCTAACAACTCCACTGAAAGATGAAGAAAATGTGGATTCAGTGTTCTGTACTCAATGTCTCTAAAAGTGTATTCATTCATTTACTTTTTCTTCCATGGTAGCAGTTATATATAATTTCCCCTCAAAGAAAAATGGAGCTCCCTTTTAAATGAAAGAGGAATGAACTATCATTACGTGTCATTACTTTGCATTACAGCACAGATGACAATCTTGAATTGAACGCGGAAGATTTCTGGTAACATGGCAGCAGCACGTTTTCACTTCCTCTCATCTATTGTGCTGTTCATTGAGATTTGGTCCTGCTATATGGTCTTATTCTATTTCAAGCTGCTGCATTAAAAATATTCTGACAAAGTGTATCCTGTGAGTGAAGACACTAAGATTGAAATACAAATTGATACATAGCTGTAACAAAGCATATGATTAAAGGAATAGTTAAAAAAAAAAAAATGTAAAGGACCAATATGTAAGATATCTACTGAATGAAATGATAAAATGTAATTAGACATTAATGAATGCTATGTTGAAGTGCTGGCTTCTCTGTCAACAACGCAGCGGCCAGTATGTCTTCCTCCTTAGTTTAGATTCTGGTCCTGAATGGTTTCTTTTTGTTTTGACCAGAGGAGGTAGGTGGATTTAAGGCGCCCCCACAGGGCCGTTTTGGGGGCGCCCCTCAATTTGTCAGATGAGACCAGTTATCACAGCTAACCAACAGGTGTTGCAGCGATGGAAGCGGGTAAGTGAACTGGTTTAGATATGACTGATTCTACCCGACTTAAAAAGCCTCAACATTTTCCTAAAAAAGCTCCTATGTCCAGAAATATGGTAAAACAAGGATACATATCGGAGATGACTCTGAAATATGGAGAGAGGTTAGAATGCAGAAAGATTTCAAGACTGATGCAGAGCTGGCTAAACACTGCTAAACACACTTCAGTGTCCGTGACATGGCAACCTCTGATGCAACCAAGGGAGGAGGGGGCGGGGGGGGGGGGAGACAGTGTCTCGCCAATGTTTAGAATTTGGACTGCAGTACCCATTTCAAACACTAGGTGTCAGAGTAACATATTGCTCCTTTAAATGGTCTTATTCTTGTCAACAGTGACATTCAGAGGAGTAACTTGATACCTCTCTCTATTTCTTTGTCAAATTTGTGGAGTCGGTTTATTAAAAACATTAGCAGTTAGCATCGTCCAAATGCCTGAGTCCGTCGGCTTTCAAAGATCACCAGTAAACATGTTTAGTTTACACTAAAAATACATTTTAAGTGTGGTTCCATAGGTAGTTACATGTTTCTACTATTTTTCATTAAATTACCTCGAAGAAAGAAATAAATAAAGTAACTTAGACCAAAATCAACCAAACTAAATTGAACTGTTCATTTACCCTGAGCGATTCCAAGAACTCCAAACACTCCCACCCTGGTGTCCCTCTTCCAGTCAGGGTATGTAATGTTGAAGTAGTCCACTGCATCATTTGTCCAGTCACTAAGCCACAGGTTCTGACCGATGAAAGCGATGTTCTGGATGACGTAAACCACGAAGACAGTGATAGTATATCCCCAGCCCATGGCGCGCATGTACTGCATGTACACTGAGAACTTCACCTGGACATCCGAAAGAGAAGACAAAATGCTCAGGAAGAGATTTCTACTGTTAAGAACGAGAATATCAAAGCAGATTAAAAGCATAATTACCTGTCCTGTTTCCATAGTTTCCTTCTCAATAAGCTTCTGGCCTTTATTTAACTCAGCTTCAGGCTTTTTAAAAGAACTATTTTTTCTTAGCCTGACACTAGAAAAAAAGGACAAAACATAATAAATTGACGTTTTGTTTTGAGAGGTGTCTTGCTCATGAGCCAGTTACATATGCTGTTTATCTATTCCATTGCCAGTGATCTCTAACCTGCCGTTACGTTGGCTTCGGCGGATACTGTTTTCTCTCTTCAGGGTCGCGGATACGGTGTCCTCCAAAGGACAGTCTGGCTGAGCGTCATCTCTTTCAGGGATGAGCTCTATATCTGCTGTGTCCCTAGAACCTTCTGAAAAAACATGGGAACATTCACATTATTTCTTTCACACCTGCAGCAAAACTTTACATTGAAATGAATTAACTCCATTCAACTTCTTTCAATCATATTGAAAACACAATTTTTTATACAAAAAGAGATAAACTTCATTGCAACATATATACACTGCAAAAACCACAATCATACCAAGTGTATTTCTCGTTAAAATATCTCATTACACTTATTATAAGCCAGATTCATCTGCTAGTCCAGACAAACATCTTATTACAAGATATCAAAATCAAAACATAATCCTGAATGACTACTATTAGTAACAATATATATACCTACGTGGTGAGCAAGTTTGACTTCTTTGTGTCTTGCCATGTGATATACCAACTAATTAAGGTAGTGTATCTCATTTGGAAACACTTGAAACACTTCAAATGTTTTGCTTTTTATATCTTGCAATCAGATGATTATCTGGATCTGTCAGGTGAATTTGGATTTTAATAAATGCAATGAGATATTTTTAACTTCAAAACAAGAGAATAAACTTGATTAGACTTGAGTTTTTGCAGTGTTTCCAGATTTCGCTACCCTATAGGGTCATGGCTCTCTCACTCTGGCTCCCTCCTGATTGAGGTTCATTCCTTTCACCTGCTCTCACCTGCACACCAGCTCTCCATCTCCTCATCAACTCAGCAGTATATATACCCCGGCTCTCCATCACTCATCGCCAAATCGTTGTATCAACTACTGCGGTAGACGGCGGCTAAATTAAGATTTTGAAAAAACCTTTGAAATTAATCTTTTGTGCTTGTTTTGGTTTTTGAGTCTCACCCTGTTTTTCCTTTGCTTCAGGATCACCATTCACCCACCTGCCTTCCTGCTCAGCCATCTGCCTCAACCTGCTCTCTGGACTCAAAACTGCTCAGCCACACTCAGACCCCTACTCTGGTCTGCTCAGCCTTTGTTCCCTTCACTCTGCTAACCTCCAGAGTCTTCAACCCATCTTCATTTCCATTTGCCACAATAAACCTCATTACCAATCAACCCCTCTGTTTATGTGTCCTGCATCTGGGTCCTAAATTCACTGGTCGTAACATATAGTTTATTATATGCAGACGCCTAGTTACAGTGTGCAGCCTAAGTGCAATTTTTGTCCATTATGCAGAAAGAAAAGGTATCATTACCTGACTCTGAATGGTTCTGATTCCTTTGTTCTTTGGCATATATGTCTAGAAACTCAGAGAAAGCTCCTTTGCTGGCACGAAGGCTCTTATAGGATCCAACCTCAGAGACCTTTCCATCCACCAGAACCACTATTTCATCCACGTGTGGCAGGAAGCTCACTCCATGAGTTACCAGGATACGAGTCTGCACAGACAAAGACATGGTTTGCCATCAGCTGTGAAGTTTCATTTATTTCAAACACTGAAAGATGAAAGTATATTCTCTTCTTTTTACACCCTTAGGCCTATAGAATGGTTCTAAAGCTTTAATTATCCCCCCCCCCCCAGGTGCACACCTGGAGTGGATCACTTGCTCCTGTGTATGTGTGTGTAGATCAGTTAAATGTAGCCCTAGCTAAAGTTCAGACAGGAAGCCTATATTTTGCGGACTCGTTTTATTGTTTATTCTCCTACCATGTCAAATCACTCCTCCACGCATGCTCACTCATTACTTCTCGTAATCATCACCTGGTCACATCTATCCAATAGCACTGCTCCACTCCCTCATTGTTAGCCTATCACATTGCTGCTCTGTCTCTTTAAAAATTCTCTTCCACTAGTTCATTCATGCCATCGTTACGAGCGACCCTCCACCTCCCCATCGCCACCGAGCCTTCGCAGTTTCATCACTTTCTTCATCCCATCAACCTCCATCATCAGCCTCAGATGACATCATCAGCCATCGTCCGGTCAACCCCCAGCCTTCGCAGTTTGCCCCAGATGACATCATTAACCATCTCCTCATCAACTCTAGTCTTCACAGTTCAATCAACGTCTTCATTGCATCAACCCAGACACATCATCCGCTAACACCTCCACCACCAGTGTCTGGACTCTAGGGGGGGATAGATCTTGTTGCCGCTCAGGGCAGACATCTTCAATCACCCTGTCTCCCTGTAGAGTTCAAGCATCAAAGATTCTCTGACAATCATTCTGACTACTTAAGTACATGTTGATCCACTATGGAAGTATATACCATTTTAATTCACTTCCCAGACAGATGAAGTATCCTTGGGAATTATCATGTTAGTGTAAGATCTTGTATGGTTATACCTTGTTAGTACTAATTAATAAGGTATATCAAATCAAATTAGATTGCCATTCTAGTCAAAGTAAACAGGTGTTAAATATCAACGCAATAATATGATATCAAGAGGTGATGCTCTCCCCTGGGCCGAGAGAGAGAGAGAGAGAGAGAGAGAGAGAGAGAGAGCGAGAGAGATGTCTGATTGCATGTGTACAGAGGAGCACACATGACATTAAAAAGCAGTCAGCAGTCATTAAATCCTGAAGCCTGCTGTGTTGGTATAAACCCTCAGGTATATCATCAAAGTTAATGAACAGCTGAACAGCATCGACCTGTTAACAGTGACTGAGTGACAGCTGAGTGACTGAGTGACGTATGGATGATCTGTATTATTAGCAGTAGAAAATAAATCTTTGATAACAGTCACCCACTTATCATTTTACCTCAACACATGTGATGTGGTATGTAAAGGTAGTTCATTGATTGATTCTATTATTGGAAAAGTATTTTTTTAAAGCAGACAATGCGTCACGTAGCTGCCTCCGCAATTTTCTGAAGCAGTCCGTCATAACAATGAGCCCTCTCTGTGCAGTTAGAGGTACTTCTTCTTTCCTTCAAATATTTTGCTCATATTTATCAAACACTGAAGTCTGCACTCTCAGCTGAGCCTCTGCACACAGACACACCAAGGTTGCCACAGACAGACCTCGTTCTAATGCTGTATATTGATTTGAAACAGAGAGGCGTGCTTATAAATTGTAAAGAAAAAGCGGGTCACAACTTGTTAATCCAAACAATTTCAACAGACTCAACAAGAGAAAGAATACATATGTAATAGCATGACTAGTCAGCTGTTTGGCCGACAGACCGCGCTTAAAGCCCTGCATTGCATTTGAGGGACTGTCAACGTAATTACGGATAAGAGCACCGTTTGTCCATGAGGTTAACGGTACTATTGGTACCGACCAATCACGTGCAGGTACGAAAGAGTACCGGTTTCTACTACCCATCACAGTTGTGACTCATACATATGGGTCCCAAGTCCCCAAAACTTGCTGTTTATCCCAATATCTCAACTTTTCTTGTGGTCGTCAGGTGATATATATATATATATATATGTAAGAGGGAAAATGAACAAGCCTGTGCTGCAGCACCACAGTGGCCGCCACTTTCCTCTACTCTTTTTACCCTCCAGGCCTCCGCGCCAGTCATGGGAAAATCTATGTGTTTAATTTTTTCTGCCAAATGTAATCCTGTGTCTGTCTGAGCAGTGCAAAGGCGAGGGCAGAGGATGATAAGTGGAATTCATGAAAATGCATGCTGTAGAATTGCTCCACTTGGAAAATGATTTAAAGTTTATCCACCCAAAGCTAGGCTACCGCTTCCTTGATGGGACTTTATGACTTTAAGAATGTCAAAATAAATATTGTCTGTGGGTGCGCCTCTGGCCTGTGGTTGGGGCATGCACACCATGTACAGAGGCTACAGTCCTCCAAGCGGGTGGCCTGAGTTCGAATCTGACCTGTGGCTCCTTTTTCAGCATTACTTACTCTTGTACAAGAATAGAACACCACAGGGTTAATGCTCCTGCTTTGTACTTAAGGGTCGCTAAAATAAACACAATCCAAAAAAACACACTGGAGCTTCAATCGAATTCATGCAACTGTCATTTACTCCTTTTAAAATTTTCTTTAAACTCATTTTTGAAAGTAGCAGAGAGTTTGACCTTGCTGAAAAAAAGCAAGTTGCATATGCAAATGCCACAGGACCTCCCATGCCTACTGTTAGTCACAATAGCTCTGATTTTAAATATAAAGTCTATGGTTATGATCAACAAAATGTAGACACAGATGGATAAATCTCTCTTTTATTAGTTTTTATGTTTTTGTCTCTCCTGCTATCTCGACTGTTATGAACTTGGAAAGACAAATGACAGAGCTTCAACTCTTTACTTTTTTGGGGGGAAGAGGGAGGTAGGGAGGATGCTGTAACCCATCCACATGTCCCTGACCAACCTGACAAATCAGCACTTTTCTCATTTATTAAAATGAATATCCTGCACTGCATGTTCCCAACACATTTACAAGTTGCTGTGATTAATAACAAATGCAAATAGATGTTCCTTTGCAATAAATCGTTAAGTACTGACAACTGCATTGATGTCAGCTGAGCACAAACCTTGTTTTTGAGTATCCCATTGTGTCCAATCAGTTTATCAAAGAGATGTTTTCCCACATGAGAGTCCACAGCAGACAATGGGTCATCAAACAGATAAATATCAGCCTCACTGTAGGCTGCACGAGCCAGGCTCACACGTTGCTTCTGACCCCCTGAGAGGTTGATGCCCTGGGGAGAGGAAGAGGAAGAGGAGAGGAGAGGAAAAATAAGTACAAAAAATATTAGGTTTTAAAGATTATGCTTACAATTTTTCAAATATTTTTGCTAGGTTTTTCCTTTTTTTATCCAAGGGTGCATATATTTGTGTAATAAATTATCATCAATGTAATACTTCCAGGTAGCTGGTAAGCCACAGTTGTCACATCACCCTGAGACGTTACAGTAGAAGGCAGGTTCAGAGTCTTTTTCTCTAGATCTAAATGTAAAAATCTAAATAACAGTGGTCCCAAGACCAAGCCATGCGGCACACCATCTTTAACTAGAGATCATACCATCAGCCCTGATCTTATGATGTTATGTTGCATCAATTTGCACTGAGCTGATTAGCTTTCGTTTGCACTGTTACTTAAGGTAAATGCTCCTTAGGTACTACAAAGTATATCTATTCTAATTAACATAATCTTGAGAAAATATTTAAAAAAACAGTAGGACAACCAATGTATACTGGGTGCATCGGTGTAGTAAGGATTTCTTTTTTATAGTTACATCTGTCATAGAGACATAGTTGTAGGGAAAGGCATTATCAAATTCTCAAAACTACAATGATTTTATGTATTATGAATTCATCATAGTTTTCCTTGTGTTTTTGTTCCTTTTGAACATCCAGGATATGTTCACAAGAGATAAGGGAATTACTTTTTGTTTCTATTAATTATTTGTTTAAAATGAGAAGTAAAATGTATTATTATTAACTCCCATGTTTATTTTAGAAGAATCCTCCCAATCTTTGAATCTTACTTTCTCTCCGATCTCAGTCAGGATACCTCCAGGTAGAAGCTCCAGGTCAGGGCCCAGAGCGCAGACCTCTATCACTTCCTCAAACTTCCTCTCCTCATGGGGAGAGCCAAACAGGATATTATCTTTCAGAGTGGCATTTTGGATCCAGGCTTGCTGTGGCACAAAGGCGAGGGACCCCTGGACAGGAAGATATGAAAGTAAAAAGAGGGTATTCATGCAAGACCTCATTCAAACCTCACTCCATACTAGTTGAAAGGGGAAACAATCAGTACATCTTTTTTAAAGAAAAGGTTAGAAAGCTTTGTTCAACTACATCTGTCAGCGGATAGACTTCACACTGTGCAACTAATGTCTTTATGATAAACCTAATGCTCCAGGAACACACTTCCTACACCCTTTTAATGCTTCCATCAGGTAGGTATCAGACTCAGCGTTCAACAGCTCTTTGCCAAAACAGCCTTTGTTTACGCTTGTTTATGTATCAGCGATCCACTAACATTTATTTAGAATGAAAAGATCTCAAGCGCAAGAATGTAGTAAGATTGGGTCAAATAGATTTGTAATAAATGGGTTTGTAATTCTATGACATTGTAAATGGTGCTTAGGTAGTGCCTTTCAAATAGCTGACCCTGGAATCATTTACTAACCTACTCTATCTCCTGAGCCACAGCAGTAAAGAGGCAATTCTCTCCTTGTCTCTCTGATACAGAAAGATGAGGAGAAAATGTGATCTACTGGCTTACAGTTCTTTCACAAAGTCTACTTCCACAAATACAGTCAAATACAGGAGACCATTAAAACCTATTTTAAGACTCTGGGGAAAAACAACAATTTACTCTGCTGCAGTACAGCTTGAAACATGCAGGTTTTGTCTGTTGTGCATTAAGAGTTCTGTTGTTTCATTACTTGTATTCCTGAGGAACCACGATGAAACTAACTTTTTAGGCTTTACATGTTTTATATTTGAATCCTCAAAGATTGTTACCACAGCTGCTTAGAGTTAGTATTTGTATTATGTTGAACATTCACTCAAGGCAAAAGAACCAGAAAAACAGAAATGGGAAAACATCCTGATGAAATCTGCATCCAAATAATAAATATTGACCGTGCTCCGCAGTGATTATTAATTATGGCTCATTCATATTCTGCACACACTTGGTTTGAAAGGAGCCATTTGAATTAAGACCTTGAAGAATGTTTTGCACAATAAAAACCCTGGTTAACTAAACCCTCTATTTGTTTGGTAATAGAAATAAGGTGTCACCTTGATGTTGATAAACCCTTTCGTTGCGTGCATCTCTCCCAGAAGGGCTGATATGAGTGAAGACTTTCCTGAGCCCACAGCTCCCACTACTGCTACCAACCGACCTGGCTTGATATCCAAGGACACACTGGCAAACACACACAAAAAGATGTCCATAAGTGTACACATTACAGAGGGAAAACACCAAATGCGTTGCAGTTGCAAGGAATTAAGTGTCATTTTGTATTTGACACAACAAACATACTTTTTCAGCAGGGGCTCAGCTTCTCTTTCCCAGGCGAATGAACCGTCACTGATGCTAACAGCAGTGTCTGATGGTTAAAAAGAAGAGAAATCAACTCAGAAAGAAGGAGAACACCTATGAACTCATTTACAAACAACCCCAGTAGAGGCACAAGCAGGGATCAGAATTAACTCCCACCCAGAACCAACTGTGGAAAAATGTTCTGTTTGGCTCATAAATGTCAGAGGGCTATAAGCTACATGGTGGGTACTTATTTGTGCCAAAATATTAATGAAATACAAAATCACTATGCTAAGCTTTTTACTACATTTTGGTGAAGCTGCAGCTTCTTTCTCCTGCTCTTATGATGTCTGAATGTCAGCACACATAAACCCCTTCATTGACTATGTGTTGCACATTGCAAGGGCATAGCTGAGAGTGTGCTGTCCGTACACGCAGTGTGGAAGTTAAAAATAGTTCAACTTGGGCGCAGCGATCAGATCACAAACTCCATCAAAATCCTGTCGTGCCCTGAGGACTTCATTAACCAAACCCCTCTTCTTCTTTGCTGCTTATCTCCTCCTCCTCAGCGGCAGACAGATACACTGTGTATTCAAAAACAAGCTACTTTCCTGACTATCATTTCGCTTGCATAGCAACTTGAGCCGATGATAGACCATGCCCCGCTATGCGCTCGTTTTGAGTAAGGCTAACCATATAGAAAGTACGTGTGCATATTAGCAACCTTACAAATGATTTATTTCTCTATTGTGGCTGCTAAGAAAATGATTGGCTGGTGGATTTTTTTATCATAAATCGACCCCCCGGACCGGTGAGTCTAATTCTGGACCCTGGGTAAAGGTATAAATGCTGATAGTGAACGTACCAAAACTTGGGTCATGATGAATAATATCACTTTCAAGGTCATCGCCTCCTAGAAACTTCTCCAGACGCTTTCTGGACACTGAGGTCTGAAATGTCAGAGAAAAGTTTAGTGAGCTTTCAGTGCAGGTTTGAAATGCTTGTGTAGAGCATGTTGTTGTGTCCGTACCTGCACGATGGCAGCAATAAGCATGGGCAGCATGGCCAGGGGAAATCGGAGGATGTTAAAAAGAGAGATGGAGGTGAAGGCTTTCTCAGCTGTCAACACGTTGTTTGGACTCACACCTACAAACACTGCAAATGTGGCGAGAGAAACCTGAAGAAAAAAAAGTCAGTGTGAAAGAAAAGAGAATTAAAGACTGTTTTTCACTTTGCTCCCTCTCAGTTTTTCACAAGGCTCCTTCAGGGGACTCACCAGAGCCGGAGCACAGCTAAAGACAAATGTGGAGACCGATGTTAGGTAGGCAAATTTTTTCATGACCTTCAGTTCTTCCCCCCTTATGTCTTCTACTTGAGTCTGGAAAGAAGGCTCCCATGCATACAACTTCAGAATCTGGTTTGAGGACAAAGATGAGGAGGGGGAAGAGGGCATTGTGGAAAATACGGAAAAGGAAGGGTGGGGGAACAAAGGGAACAGCATTAAACCTTATGTAGTTAGTGTCAATAAACCACAAGTGGGGGATGCAGTATAATAGAAAGCACTCTGAGTCAACATTTCAACCTTTCCTGAGGCAAAACACTTTTTGTCTGAGGAAGACTCAGGTCCATTAGAGTTGATTTTCTTACATAAAAGCAGTGGTGATGGCCTTGTAACACTTAGTGCCTATTAACCAAAAAAAATGTAAAATGAGTTCTCACCTTTATCCCATTCAGTATTTCGTTCATGATTTTCAGTCTCTTGTCCTTGTACTTCATGTTTTCTACCTGAAAAGATATGATATACGTTAGCAAGGCACTATAGCTCTCTCTTTTCTAACCCATGTCCAACAGATAATACAGAAAAATAACAAGAAATACTATAACCAGGAATGAATGGTATTTTTTAGCATTAAGTTTACGTTAAATAAAGTGTACTCAAAGCTTTTAAAAGCTGCCCAATGGCTCTTTGGAAACATCTTCCACGTAAAAAAAAAGAAAAACTGGCTATAAGAATACGTCCGCACAAACGTATTAATGTGCTGAGAAAAAGTGTCTGTTATGCACTCATGGTTCACAACTAAACCACTGTGGTGCCCAAGAACACATAAAGTTTGAAGAAGATTTGAAGTAGACTTCATAAAATGCACACACATACAGTTAGAGCTTAATTGTATTAGAAAGCTGTTATATATATGTTATGTTACAAAACAGCTCTGTGGTGACGCATTGCTTTCTTAAGTGCTTGTTCTTCACAGGAGCGATATCACGCCACTGTGCTTCTGTCTTCCATTTGCAGACAGGTTGTAATTACGGTAGTGTCTTGCTGCAAATGGAAAACCATGACATCTTTGCAAATGGAGTGTGGCTTAATAGCTGCATTTTTATTTCATACGTTGCTTTTGTTAAAGACAAACAGTTTTTTTTAATACATGGAATATTGGCTGATACAAGTTTTAGACCACAGCCATTATTATTGTTTACATTTAGCTTTGAATAATTCAAATTAATGTGCATCTGACCTGAATGCAAAAGCAGTTAAGATGAGACCGTTTATTTAAATGATCAGTAAAAATGGACACTATTTAAACGTACAATATTTTCCCTCAGGGATCAATAAAGGATATCAAAAAAATATGTAGAATTTTCTAAATTAATTAAAAATTGACTAAACCTATGTTTTTCTGTTGTTGAGTACTTACATGACTTCAAATATTTCCACCAGTTATCAAGGCCAGAGAAATCTGTAATGCTATAGTTGTAACGGCACGACAAGACACGTTATGTTTATCGTTGCCGTGGAAACACCGGATGTTAAGTCAAATAAAGAGGCAAGAGCTGCTACTGAAAGCTGCCGCACTGTTGCTGTATGTGCTGCTGTGATTAAAAAACGTCATGTAAATTATACTTGGATACATTGGCTCATCAGTTAACACGTTCTCTTCCTCAGGTCTGTTTCGCTCAGTCGTCTTGACTACGGTCAACTCGGATTCCGTTATCATCAGGGGGATAGCAGAGAGAATAACTCCCATGATTCCCCACCAGCCTTGACGTCATCTTTTATTGTTGTTGCATTGATTTGGAAACCCCTTGTGGCAGGATTTACATACTGTGCCTTTAAGAGTTCAGTAAACAGAGCCAAGAAATAGTTGTGACGATGAATACATTTAAGCTTAAGTGGACACCAAAGCGTAATAAGGAACTCTCATCCTAACCCAAAGAACTCTGGTAAACAAACATACAAGAACTGAATAAATGTGTGTAAATTGAGATTTTTTTTTTTACTAACATTTGACCACCTTTACAGTTGTGTCCAGGTAAATTCTGGTTAACTGTTTCCAATATCAGTGCACAGTATTTTTAACGTCATCAATGTTATCTTTTTTCTAATTATATGAAAGGAAGGTTAAGTATTTTACACAGGAATTAAGATGAAGATTTAAAATTGATAGTGTATCATCCTCTGAGTCCACAGCACACTAACTTACACTAACAATGCAAAAACTATCCTGTGCGTGCCCGCTTTAGCCTACCTGGAGCTTTCTGGCCTTAGTGGCTAAGAGACCATTAATAGGCACCATGAGCACCATCACCGCCAGTCCTGCCAGCACAGAGGGTCCTAACTCCAGCCACAGGAAAACTATAGATAGGATGATCTGCAGAGGGCAGGACCACAGCAGGTGGATGAAGTTTGTAACATCGTTGAATCGCTGGGCATCAGCTGACATCAGGTTCACCGTTTCCCCAACTGTTGTCTCTTTACGAACGTCATTTGACACCACCAACGCCTTAGAGAAGGGAGGAAGATGAGTTTGTAAGAGAGAGGGGGAATGGAAAAGAAGCAAAAGAGGGCTAATTGGTTGATACTTTTTATACAAAACAACACAAAAAAATAAGATTTTGCTTCTCCCTATTGAAAGAACATATATTAATCCATCACCAGAACTCCTAGATTTAACACATTAACGGTAGAGCGGCTGAGAATGATGATGAGATATTGATGAAATTGAAAAAATCTTACAGGCTACGTCAGTGACAAGCTCACACAGAAATGTTTCCCTGTTCTGTGGTAATAACAGGTTGACGAAGGTTGCTCATTCAGCTTGAAGGTGTAATAACTATGTACAAATGCAAATTACAGAAAAATATGCAAATCTGCACTGACATCCACAAAGCTCCCATCATTGAAACAATCATGTTAACATTGAGCTTATGACATAATCCACTAGGTATGTGCAATGAGCAATGGGCTGCATGTTTGTCTGAAAGGTACGATATAAATCAAGTTGAGAAGATAAAAATATTCATGAATAGTAAGTAATTATCATGGAACCTCTTGAATACAGAGATGATTACTTTCCCCGCTTTTATGTTGAACAGTACAGTTAATTTCTCTTTACCTTTTCCATGTTTTTAACTTTGCACGTCAACTATGAAGATGTCCTTGTGATATTACTCGTTTACCTTTTTATACACGGCAGCCATTATGGCAGTGCGGACCTTCATCCCTAGAACAAAGCAGCGCTGGAAGTACTGCTGAAGGAACAGAGACTGCAGAATAGCCACCACAAGGAGCAGCACTGCGTACACATATCCCTCCCAGGTGTGCCTGGTTTGGTCATGAGTGAAGGAGATCATCAACCTAGGAAAAAGAAAAGGATAGCTCAACTATTGGATTAATCATTCTTTTTTTTTTTTCACACAATCATGCTCCCCTCTGTTTTGTGTCCTATTTACTTTGCCTTTCCCCTCCTCTTATTACGTCTAGCTTTCCCCTGCTAAGCTAGACATAAGTAGTGAATGGTTCACAATGCCATATATTGTCATATGAAGAGCCTAAAAGAGGCGCTTGACATACTGTAGAATTGGTTGAGGCCCAGATCAACACGTGTAAAAAGGGGGAAAAACAGCATGATGTATTGACCCTGAGTTAATGATTGAATGCTGACTGAGTAAAACAAAGAGCAGCGAAAACAAAACCAACCCAGGGACAGTTAGATGGAGTAATTAAACAGGTTCAGTGTTGTTTACAAGGAACAATGAAATCATTTCAAAACAGGATCAATAAAACAGTCAACAGTAAAGTGCATAGCTAATTAGCTGCTTAGAAGATGACACCTTCAGTGACTCTACCGTTTTTGCCTGAGAAACTTTACTCACTTTAGGAGTTGAGGACTCGCAAAAGCCAACAGGTCCTGCAGGAGTTTGAAGAAGGCAGATTCAATCAGAATCCATTTAAAGGTCTTGTATATGGTGGTAATCAGCCATGCGTTGGGATAGTTGTTTTTCCTCCTTCTTCTTGTCCTTTTTCTTCTTTTTTCCATCTGCTTGTTTTCCTTTTTCCTCCTACAGACGGATAGTTTAAATATTGCATACATTGATATGGTTGAGATTAATATAGCTCACCCAGTCAATAACCAGGGCTACTTGTAAAACCCATTTGGGGTTTATAAAAATGTACTGAACATGTTTTTACTCTGTGCACACTTACCATCATCAGCACATCCTGGCTCACGCCTTTCCCCAGACCATTCTGAAAGCTCTCTCCATGCACTTTGTCTCTGTTCTTTACCCGTTTCTTCTTCAACTTCTCTTGATATCTGACCCGAGCTTCGCCTAACTCCAAATTCATGAAATGCTGAAAGTGCTCGTTGAGATATGAAGTGCTATCCTTCGCACTGAGCTCCCACATGTCCTCCTGAACCAGGGGCCGCTTGTAACCCTTCACCACCATACTGAAGAGGGGAAAGGAGAAGATGGAACTTTTGGCAAACATTTGTGCGGGAGTTTGCATGAATTGTTCTTTACTAAGTGTTAATTTACCTGTGAAACCAGTTGAATGTGATTCTGCTCAAAAACGTTGCCCCTGCCTCAGGATTCTGTGGGTAGAAACAAGCTGATGGTTTATATTCTCAGCAGACTAAGATGTTGGAGGTCTGGTGTTCTAGTTTCGCTAATCTTTTGTGAATTTCTGGTTATCAAAACTAAAAGAAATGAGGGAGCAAAGTGAAAATTGGGTGCTTAGGTACCTTTTTTACACGCTCCTCATCCTCAGGTGGAATATCAGCCACAACAGAGAGGATCAACGCAATCAATTCCAGCCCATAGGTGATGTAGAAAAGGCAGAAGCGGGGGACATCATTGATTGTTCCCTGAAAGTCAAGGATGGGTATTAGAATGATATATAAAAGTGAGAGAAATGCAGCAGGGAATTGTTGAACACAAGGACAAACTTAAGAACATTTAATGAAGTCATTATGTATGAGTTTTGTTCCTACTCAATTACATGTTCCCAATTTGACCTAATGTTTCATACCAGCTTAAGTGCCTCTCGTAGGAGGGTTTGAAAAGGGAAGATATCGCACAAAACAAGGAGAAGCCAGAAGGTGAAGAGAGTGGCCGAGTCTACGGCTCCTTCCCGTCGTCTCACTACTTCCTGGCACAACAGCACAAGGATCTACGAGAGGAAAAAACATCACAACACATCCATTTAGACCTGGATGGTTAATAAATAAAAAATAAATGTTTTTGTGTGTGCCATTTTTACCCATGTGACAGCATACAGGACAGGGTTAGCGTAGTATACACCGGCATTTTTCACAGTTGAAGATGTGTCTCGGTCTGGACCAAAGTCCTCTCCTAATGTGACTCCTAAGGATGCTATGGCCGTCAGGAATAAGAGAGAGGCCACAAGCTGAGGGGAGCAAACACAGACAAGATTAGAAAATCATTTCATTTTGACTCATGACCATCGCACATGGCGGTAATCTTCTTCTGACGTCACTCTCAAGGTTGGAAGCTAAATGCTCAGGTGATATCTTTGATGGGTTGTCGGTTGTGAATTGTGTAAATGTTAGACACTTGACAAATAATATTAAATAACAGCTTCTGGACTGAGAAGCACCTGAAAGAGCAGCAGATAGTAAAAATCGAAGCGGATATCAGCCCATATTTCAGTTACAATATCACATTTCATGGCACGTAAAAAACGGTTAGACAACAGCTGATGTTAGCATGATGTTAAAACACGGTACTCGAGAACACATACATAATGACAACATTTGAAAGCATAGCTAACGTAACGTATGAAACAAGTACATTCCTAGCTCACAGTTACGTAAGCTAGCTGTAATGTTAGCTATGTGGTCGAAGAAAGCTACTGTCTGAAGGTGGCAAATGAGTAAATAACTAGTGAAAGTATTCAAAAATAAGTCCAATTCCCAAAGTACAAATTACCTACAATCGTAATACACGGTTTATAAAAAATCTATTCAAAATTCTTTGCCTGAAGGGGGCATCAGAGGAAGACGACCACCGTGTCAATATGGTAAATGGTGTACAAAAATCGTTCTCGAAATAAATAATTGTAATAGCAGAGTATTTCTTCCATGTTTAGCACCTCTTCAGGAGATGTTTACACACATTTTAAATGTTGCATATTGTGAAAGTTATTAGCTTCTACTAAAACCAGATTCTTCTTTTTACTTTCCATTTTTTATTATTAATGAAAAAGTTTTTTGTTTTTTTTGCTGTGTGCATTACCTGTTTACAGAAGTAGAGTTTGGACATGTGTTTCGTTTTTGCTTTTGTCCTCCTGCAGAGAGACACCAGGTGTCGCGGGACACAAAGCCACAGGAAGCCCAGGGGGATCCAGACCAGCACCGTCTGTTCTACACATACTGGTAAGTCAGGGTCTTCTCTATCCAGAAACGAAGCATTCTGAGGTGCACACACAATCACACACATGTACAGTCTATTATTATACACATGGATAACCTTTCAGTATATCACAGATCCATACAAAATCCCTCTTCCATCTTATTCTTACAGATGGTCAAACAAACACACTCCCACATGTGTATCTCTGGCGATAAGGGGACACACCACACCTTTCTGAGTCTGATTGGAAATGTAATCAACGGTGGCTCACATGTGATTAAACACTAAGTCCCTGCATACAGCTGTGTGCAGCTGCCTGAGTGATCTTGAGATATGAGTGCTGATAGAAAAGCAGTAACGTGGAGTGAAAGGAAGTGAACAAAAACTGACAGTTCAAGACCTGACCTGCCTATCGATTTAAAAGTAGCAACTTTCAAGCACTTGAAGTCCTAGCTACTTTAGCCCTAACGTCTAGACACTTGGCTTGATCCAGTGTATAGTCTCTGTTCTCAAATCAAGCTCAAGTAAAAAATCAAGGGTCAAGCAGCACATTTTTTTTTACTGTGCAATAAATGTGTACTCTGTAAAATTAACTGATTACATTTAAGTCTTTATAATGTGAAATCAAAATCAGAAATGAATCAGTTTTATTGGCCATGTACGTGAGAACATAGAGGGAGTTTGATTCCAGTTTTACATTACTCTCATAATACAGACAAAGAAGGTGACATACACTTAAAATCTAAGAGAAGCACTGACACATTATAGTAAAATGATGTAAAAAAAACAAAACAACAACTGCTATATACAGGCCTATGGATACAAATATAGATTTATAAAATCAATACATAAAAATACAACAACAACAACAAAACTTGAAGAAGGAGACAATAGTGCAATAATGCAATGAAGAGAGCAAAGGTGCAGAGATAAATACAGTTATGGATCAAATGAGAAATATCACATAATATCTTCTTGTCTTAATGCCTCACATTTGCTTGATTGAGAAGCTGTAACTCAACAGAATTTTACAAAATTGTTGCATTAAAGGTACACTATGTAGTTCTGGTAGAACAAGTTGGAGAAGGGTACAGATTCTGTGGTATATGTTCATAACTCTATACACAAACTGTCCTCAGAGGAAACACTGTTATCCCTTTAACAATGTTAGAAGATCAAATGCTACATGAGAAGTCGTGGTGGGGGGCCAACAAGAGTGAAACCGTAACTCTCCTGGTAGCTTTTAAGCTCTAAGCAACGTTCAGGGACCCATTTTTTCTTTGAGTAAAGTTTGTGTATTCAAGTCAGGAAATTATAGCATAAAATAGTTTAACTTCTCCAACTTTGAAATTTCAACACCAAAACTCCATAGTGCACCTTTAAATATGTCATACATTCTAGGTTGTTTATCAAACAGCTGTTCCAGCTCAAATAAGCTTTTTTGTATTATCTTTTATTTTAGTTGTTCATTTTTTTTTAACGATCTAAGGCTGTAGAGTACATCAACCATTGACTCAGTTATCGGATATGTCGAGTCATGTCTTGGATAAGAATCACATGTTCAGTGAGCTCACTGTGTGCAGAGTTGAACATAAACTGTCAGGACTGTGTTAAAAATAAAGTGCAGAGTCATTAACTTTCGGACAAAATCAACGCCACAGACTCTAATAAAGCAGCACAACGTGATGTAAAACGGCAATAAATTGTTTCTTGTGAAAAGTATGAGTACATAGAACCCTTGATACACTTTCTTGTTTTGACATAAAAAAAAACATTGTATGTTCTGGTAAATTTGTTGAAATTATGGATTTACTGAGGGGACTCTGTATTTCATTTTTTGCTTCATTGTTGACACATGTCATCTATTCATGTCTGACATATAGACACTTATTGGAACAAATGAACTTGACTGGATTATCACTGACTATTACACAAGTCATGCAACACTTCAACTTGAAGTGCAGAAGCCTATGATAATCAGAATTGTTGTCTGTGTCAGTAGGGTTTGTAATTGCTGTTTTCTGCACTTTATGCAAACCTTTCTGACAAGAAAAAGTTCTACATTTTACAGGGATACTGGACTGTATCGCTTGTATAACATTGTAGATGTTTAATTATGTACATCCTTTGGTGGTTTTAACATAAAATGTAATTGATTGTTAAAGTTATTCACTAATGGGTTATATGGGTTTGTGTCAAAAGTCACAGGTTATTAAGTGCTAATTAAATTCAGGGTATAAAAAGTGTCAACTAAGGTCATCATGACACCAAGATGAAACTTGTTCCCGTTAACACCCTCGTTTCTCCCTTCAACTACGAAAATGATTGTATTGTAAAAACATCATGTCACAGTAATTTATAATTTATTGTGAGTTTAAGTAGAGGTTTACTGTAAATGTTGTGATAACTCAATATTTTGTGGTTATGTCATCTCATTCTCAACTATTATACAAGTCTCCGACTTACAGAAATGATCCATTTGGAAATAAAAAGATGAATCAAAAGGATATGCCTTAAAATCGTGAATATATTATTAATATGACATTATATGAAGTGGCTATTTAGAGCTGTGGTTACTGTTGATGCTTCACAGCCAGAGGGACATGAAATTGAATCCTAGTTTTTCTAATCATGAAAAATAAATACAAGTTAAGTAAAAATAGTTAAATAGGTTCAATTAACTAGGAATATTTTGTTTTGAATGAACAGGAATGTATAAAATATACATATATATATTCCTTAAGTGGTTGCCTGAACTCTAACTTTTTTAAGCTCAAACAACTTTCTTCTTTTTTTACAGTGTGGCTGTGAACTCACCCAGAAGACTGACCCGCAGTACTCCTCCAGGGCTGCAGCACACATGGTCCACTCTGGTGGCTTCAGTCGCCCTTATGATGAAAAAGACAACAAGACAACGCTTGTTGCCTTCTGCTTTTACTGCTGCCGAAGTCGACTCCCTCTCTCTCTCCCTCGTCCACTCACACTCCAGAGACAATTGCAGGATGTGAACCTCAGGGGCTTTGAGCCATGAGGCTTTTAAGCAGAAACCAAACCTTAAGACCTCCTTGTGCGCTGAAAAGATGTTAATCTGTCAAAGATTTACTGAATCCGTGTAAAAAGCAGATGTGTTAATGTTTAACTCAAGTCTTGATTTCGGTTGTTTCAGGCAGCAGATTTTAAGAGTTGTCTTCTGGTAGTATTCTGTGTCTCGGTAGAGGTCTGCAAGAAAAAAAAACCCCTGCAGTCGTTCGTATGTTCAACTGAGAAATCTCGACAACTGCTGTCAAAGTCATTGAGAAGCCGAGCCTCGCACCAACCCACAGACATTCTCACAACGCTCACATGTGTCTAAAGTTCAACTTTTCAAACAGATACCCTCATCAAAGGGAGAGACAGAATGACTTGCTGTTTTCCTCATGTTAGTCAGGACAGCCCACCAAAAAAAGGGAATGTGTTAAAGGAAGGGGAGGGAGTGGGGCTCATTAGACCCTTTTTCCTGTTTGGTTTCCACTTCTGCTCTGCATGCAGTCCCTCGGTCTGGACTGAGACGCATTTCTGAGCTCGAGTCACATTTGATTAGTTTCAGGCCATCATGCATTCAAATGGGGTCCTTGGGTTGAAGCTGCTTTGGCGATATTTGTGAGGAAAATGTTGGTTGGGGCGGAGAGTAGAGAACAAAGCTAACTGCTTGGCTTTTTTCCCTCTCCGTCTGTTTCCTATTGTTTACAAGAGGAGGGCTGTAAGGGCTAAAGTATTCACTGTTTACAAGAGAATCACGCCAAGCAGAGACTAAAGAGAAACTGAGGATAAGGATCACTTCAGCTAGGAGTACATTCTCAATACATGACCAAAGTCGTCATCTTCATTTGGTTCAGAAGCACTGAGTGATGTAGGGTCATTTGACGTCAAATTGTCAACAAAGCTCAAAACAAACTTCATGAGGATTAGTGCTTTTGAGGATGTGTGAGTTTGTCTAAGGGTTTAAAGACTCTTGACAGAAAACTGAATGTGTCATCCTGACTCATCATGCCCCTCCCCCTCCATCAAGAAGGTGTAAACAAAGCGAAGAGCTGCAGAATAATCAGGTAAACATAATTACCCCTGGTAGTGTCAAAGAGCAAACATTTTAATAAGAATTTCTTGAACTGCAAACATTTGATTAACACTCAGCATTACAAAGTTAGATAAGTTGTGTTGAAACGTAATTGATTAACATTTCTGCAAACACATCCATTAATAGTATTAAATAATATGGATGATTTATCTTTCACAAGTCTCTGATGGTTACAGAACAGATTATTCTCACTGCATGACAGTTAATCATTACATGTTTGATAACAGTAGTGGCAATCTGGCTGAGTCATGTGTGCACAGAGCCCCAAGGACAGCAGCAGCACGTGGAGTGAACTCCTCCATAATTTGACCAGCCCTTTGCTCTGATTTACATTTATGATTCCATGCATAAAGGTGAGCGTGACTCACACTCATAATAAGCCACAGCACCAATCAGTTAAGTCAACATGCTTGTTACACAATGATGAAGTGCAGGAAGCCTTAGCAGGTACTTCAGCGCTACTAGCAGAGGAGAAACGCTTACAATTTTGTGTTTCATAAAGCGGGGAAGATGTCATAAATAAGTGGTAAAGACCTAAAAAAACAAAAACCACAATATGCTCTTGTGGCTTGGTAAAGGATTCTTTTCAGTCAAGGTCAATTAGATTTAAAGCACTTGTGTGATGTAAAATACTTGAAAACAAGGTTTGTTGAGTTGTTGTATTTGTGTCTAAAAAAAGTATGAAACCTTTAAATAACATCATGGCATGATGTCGTCACCTCCGTGTCACTAATAACCATTCAGTGTTTTCACACAGGCACAACACTACAGAAAATTCCCCAAAGTTTTCAACGTGAGCTGTTTTTCGCTGCTGGACTCTGGAAAGAGGTTCCGCAGCCTCCGAAACAGAACTTCCAGGTTCTGTAACAGCTTCTTCCCACAGGCCATAAGACTTTTGAACAGGAAAAAATAATCCCTCCATTCCCCCTCAAACCCCCACACAGGACTACCTCACTGGACTGTAAAACACAATATAACGTGCAATATATTTATCTGTATAGTATTTTTACTCATAGTTTTTCTTTTTATATCTATTTATATCTGCACCTTATTTTTATTTTTTATATGTAAATACTTGCTGCTGTTTTTATCCTGCACTACAACGGGCCAAATGCAACGGAATTTCGTTCTTATCTGCACTGTAAAGTACAAGTTTGAATGACAATAAAGAAAGTCTAAGTCTAAGTCTAAGTCTAAGTTGTGTGAACACAGCAGGCAAAATGAACAGCGAGCAAAAGGGAGGGGGGCGATGATGTTTATGTCACATAATCAGTGGGCAACCAATGCAATCTCCACACGTAATGCTTCATATTCATCACTGCTTGCCATATTAACCACTCATTCATACGTGATGTGGAATTACTCTTAGCATTGATATGAAAGCAAAAAATGTCATCATAGCCTCGGACTCTTTTGCTTTGTCTGCCATTTCTGTGCCTTCCCTTTTACGTCATGTCCTGCTTCAAATCCCAACCCCCCTCACATCTGGCAGTGTTTGTTGAACGACATTAAAGGTTTACTGATTCTAAAAATGGTCAATTTAGTACAATCAGAATGCTTTATGATAGGTCAGTCTTCACTTGCCGGATTGAGTTTCAATTTATCTGAAAGTTTTAAAACACATAATGTCTGAGATCATGTCTCAAAGCCAGAAGCTATGTTGTGGCAACCAGCTACCATAAAACAAAGTGGATATCAATGACATGTGGCGTCCCCCAGGGTTCTTTTCTTGGCCCTCTATTATTCTCGCTCAAGTCATATCATACCCAACAATACAATTACTTATCAAACTTATGAAGAACACGGTTTCACTACGCCGTTTCAACAAGTGACTTTTGTACCTTGGAATCAGTCTAGTTTGAGCCAGTAAATAAAAGGAAGCAATTACATTCATTTATTTACAAGAGGTGCCTTAAATCACTGTATTTAGTAATAAAAACAAATTGAAGAGCTGACTTGAACACTGCCTGTGAACTTCTTCCCAGAACCAATAGAACCACATATTGAAGTTCTGCTGTTAGTTAATAAATCACTCAACAGTCTGGGATCGTGATAGATTTGTTTTTTCTGAAGAATATAATCCCAGGAGGAACCCCTTTGATTATTAGGAAGAAGCCAGCTAGAAGTACTACAAGTCCGAACAAAACAGGTTGTAGCTACTTTTAGCTAATATAGTGCAAACAGCCAGAACAGACTTCTTGATAACATCAAATTTGCCTCAGCCCAACCCTTTTTTAACTCTTAGTTTTACTCTATTGTTCTTCTCCCTTTCACTGATTGTCTTCTGCTTTCGGTAATTTTTCTTGTTCCAGTTGGGACAACGTAGAACTACACGGTAACTGTATTATTTTTCATTCTAGTTCTAGTAACCTATTACAGGTCATTTAATTCAATGTTTTTATGAAATGCTTTTTCTTGTTTTTATCGTAAGATGTTTTGGTTTGTTTTTTCCAACGCTCTTCATTGCTTTTGTTAAGCACTTTGTTTTGCCTTTGTGTTTGACATGTGCTATTCCAATAATAACGTGCCTCGCCTTAACTCAAGAGAGTTCAATCATCCATAAGAATCAATCAGATTAGATAGCCAGCATGAAGATAGTAACATGACTCTTAAACCTTATTAACAACTTAATGAATGAAGCATGAGTCTGCATTAGTACACCGTATTTATTAAATGAAATGAAGGAGAGACTGTTTCTTTCCTCAGTGTAGAGGACAGTACAACCAAAGAAAGTGCGCTGAATTGTTAATTTGTTCTTAAAACTGGGTAAATTGTGAGAAAACTGAATGAAGTCACGCCTATTCAGTTCTTTCCTGGTTAAAAATATTACAGGAGATCACAGCTTAGTATTTTCCACTTTAAACAAGGAGTGTTGTAAATAATTGAAACGCCACTGTATTGAAAAGGGTAAAATAGATTACTCAATCAGCAGCGGCCCTGCTAATTTAGCACTTTATTATAGTGTATTCTATCACACTTTTTCTGATGCCACACAGAGGTGTAAACCGATATATAAAAATTATCCATCACTCTCCACAGAGAGATTTTTCTTTTTTACAAAGGATTTATCAAAGATTAAAAAAAAAAACATGAAATATCTTCTTAATCTGGGCTTTAGTGAAAATGATGACATACCAGTAAAATCAACAATCACATTTGAGGTATCTGCTTTTTTCACTGTCATGATTGTACAGTACCCATTCACAATGTGTTTCTGGCTATTGCAGTCAGAGTCCGGACTTTGCACACATCTGCCACCTTCAGGCCGTACTCAGGTGCTGAGAAAGCAGCTCCCATCGTCACACAGGTGTTCCTGCACAGGGAAACACAATTACTCAGACAGCAACAGAACGAAACCTGTGTCTATAAGTGTCATCGCTCTTTGAGGAAATGAATATTTACAAGTTAATGAGCATTAGTTGAGGCTTGAATAAAGTGTACCTGAACTTCATGGCAGAGTCTTTACTGGAGCGGGCTGAGCCGTGAAACTCTTGAGCCCCAGACCCCTCTAAAATTCTCTGCAGGTTTCTCTCCGTGATACCTCCTCCTGTATTGACAAATACATAAAAGTGAGGGAAGAGAAAACCTGTACAAACTGCATGAATAAAGCAAATGTATTTACCCGGCATGATGGCAATTCTCCCTTTAGCCTGTCGAGGGAAACAAAAGGTAAAGAATGTTCTGTGATGTTGGGAAGCTGCTCACAATAACAAATCAGCATAGATAACATGATTAATATGTTTCCATTAGGCAAACATGAATGCATACATGTCATTTATGCATACCTGATCTACAAGACGTTTAATGACAGGGAGTCCCTCCAAGGCAGAGGTGTCACAGCCGCTTGTGAGCACACGCTGGAATCCTAATGAAACCAGAGTCTCCAGAGCAACCGCTGGGTCATGAACCATGTCGAAAGCTGCAGTCAGATCATTATTAGTTTGATAAAGTGTGTTTTCAGACTCGATAACATGTATTATTAAGTCTTAAATGCACTCTGTCTAACTAAGCAGCAAATCAACAGGGAACAGGAAAAAAGCCTCAAGTGCTTATATTCTACAGAGGCGTTTTGTTTGATTATTTAGTATCAGGCTGATTTGTGTCCGCTGCAAAGAAATGTAAAAGTTTAAGTCTACATGTGATTAGAAAAAAGGAAAGAAAATGTTACCTCGATGGAAAGTGACAGGTAAAGGTCGAGCAGCAGCTAATGAGAAAAAGGTGTAAAATAGAACATTAATAATAAGAACAAGACAAGTCACATAATTAGATCTGTCCTTAATGTGAGGCCATGGTTTATTTTGTGCCACCTGCTGAAAAGTTTCACTCAAAGGCTGAAACTTCATTTTATTTTATTTTAAGATGCATTGCATAACTGCCATTATGAAGACAAGAGAGATCACACAAATGTGAGAATGCAAGAGGACAAAGAGTATGACGCACAGCTTCCATGAACTCTGTCAGACTACAAAAAAATGAACTCTCGAAGGAATTTGTAAAGCTCCTCGCAACAATAGCCCATTTTTCCACAGATTGGAAGGTATGTGAACAAAGAAGAAAGAAAGTATATAGATGTGTTTGAATCTTTAGCTTCATAGCAGATCAAGTGCTATAAATGTCTTTGTATGGTTTGTGATAAAATAGAAAAATGAGAAAATATGTGATTCTGCCAGGCACTAGAGTATTGGAAAATACCAAAGCTTATCTTGCTTTTCAACATTTTCTTAAGTTTTATGATTCAACAGGAGACGGTGATTTGACCCCTAGGATTGGCTATCAAAGGGGATATGAGGTGAAAGTCATAATTTAGATATGGTAAAGATTTAAAAAGTTACTGGAACGGTGTCGATTTCAAGAGAAAAAAGATGACCCAAACTCTTCAACTGAGATTGAAAACACTGTTATTTTGTTGACTTGTACTTTTAGGAAAATATCTTCGAGCTTGAAATATTTCTAAATTTGATCGCAGGAAAAGCTCATTTCTTCCTAATAACATGAAAAACCTAAGTTCAATTCAGGTGATTCACTTGCATCAATAAAGACCCCTAGGAATGGAACATCTTAATGATATAAAGCCGCTGTAATTATGTTACATTTTTGGAAATGGGATTTTACAGAAGAGGTTTTTGGTTTGCTGAAGTTGAACAGAAAGAACATGTCGGCTTAGACAGAGTGCACTCTGAGCTCTAAGTGTACGCACTGTCATTTATTCGAAATGTCTTTTAAGGTTTCGTGAAATTCAACATGATGAGCTGTTAAATGATCTTGGCTGCCTTTGTTTAGTGCCCAATAAGGACATCAGATCTGAATATAAAGAGGCAGACATTACCCAGAAACTCCATACAGAGCTCTGCATCCACCCGTCCATCCTCTGTCAGGGCTCCCAGCACAAGTCCATCGGCCCCGTGGCTCTTCATCAGCTCTATGTCCTTTCTCATCACCTCCACTTCATGGTCTGAATACAGGAAGTCCCCACCACGGGGCCGTATCATGACGTAGACGGGGATTTTGACATACTGCTTAACTATCTGCAGCAGACCTTTGGGGAAGAAGAACAATGGTGGCATATCATAGAATAGAATAGAATAGAATAGAATAGAATAGAATCACTTTATTGATCCCAAACTGGGAATTTGTGGCGTTACAGCAGCAGGTTATCCAACACACAATATGAGTAAAAAAACCCACAATGTTAGCAAATCTAAACATAATATAATATTAAATACAAAGTAAATAAGTACTAAAAATATCAAAACTAAGAATGTGAATATATACAACCAGGATTTAACTAAGCATTACTAGTCTGAAATAGGAAGATTAAATAAAATGTGCAAAAACAGAGTTGTAAATGGACAGTATTGACATAAGTTAAAGTGCATGAGTGTAGACATATTATAAGCAGAAACTATTCAATATAACGGCGAGTAGACAGACAAATGAAGTGAACATGAGTGCGGGGATAATTTGTAAATTTAAACATGTGCAGAACAGATTACAGTAAAGGAGAGACAGATATTATCATGATGACAGTTCTCTTTTTATGTGATTGTATGTGCTCGTCTGGTCCCATTTTTTGTGTGTGTGTGTGAGATGAACAGAACAGAACAGAACAGAACAGAACAGAACAGAACAGAACTGAACAGAACAGAACAGTGCTTACCCAGACTGGGAGTGAGCCCTCCCTCCAGAAGACTAGTACATAATTCAAGCCGCCCTGCACCTGTCAGGAGGAGAGAGAAATGCTCTGAATGCATTTTACTTTTATGGTCAGACCTTTGATAAATTAAAGATTATTGCATGCTCTGAATATACAGATAAGCGCTGTGAGAAAACACTTCATTGTGTCTAATTGCACACAGATTTTCCCTCCCTCACTGGAAATAAAATAAGCAAAACTTCCTATGTCAAATTGCAGATTTCAAAGGAAAAAAGCACAACAGTGTTAATTACACATTACCAACCTCCTCGTTCAGCATTGACAGCCGACTCCACGGAGTCCACACACACCTCCATTAAATACTCCTCTGCCATACTGAACTGGACAGTGGTCTGGACAGAGAGACAGAAAAACAAACAAGGAACAGGAAGACACACATGATGAACTCATAATAACCACGTGAATGTGTCTTTAGCTTTTAAGTTTGACTATCAAAACAACAACCTGTCAAATCCACTGTCAGTCGATTCATGGGCCCCTTGATAACGAAATTAAATCAATACATGACTTTTATTGCACTGACAGACTTTAGCACCAGCAGCCAGCCACTCACAGCCACCACAGGGATAAAGCGCTTTTCCGGTTAGTTGAATTTACAACACGGGGTAAAAGCGGTGGGCGGCTGTATAATAATAATAATAATAATAATAAAGTGTATTTATATAGCGCTTTTCGCAGACAAAGGTTACAAAGTGCTTTACATAAAAAAAATTAAAAAAAACACAAAAAAAAACAGAATCCTTGTTGTCACTTGACAGACGGCAAAAAAAAGGGTAGCCGCCCATGTGGGATACGCCAAAACAGGCAAACGAGCACAGTCACCGTCTCTCTATAATACATTTTGAAAATGATAAATATTTTTTTATGTTTCGCTGTAAAAAGATCATGTTTCGTGACTCCTACAACAACAACAAAAATAAAAATAAAAATATTTGCGCATCTTTTTTTGTGTGACGTCACCAGTTCAGAGTTGAACTCCGTTAGGAAACATGGTTTGGTAACATCCAGTAGCAGATTTTTATTAACCTAAGTTTGCAGCTTTCGTAAGAGCATTGCAGGGACACAGTTCACCGCCAGCAAACACTCGGACACAACGACCATGTTGCTCTCTTCATTGCGGACAGCGTCATTGTGCGGCTGCAGACACGCCGGGAAGAGATTTCAACACGGCAATGTGAGTATAAACACAGCTAACGGTAGCTCCTAGCATTAGCTCTGGGGGAAAAAAAAAAAAGGTCAGACGCGTTACAGCGAGATAGACAAACGTAACGACATGTTTCGTGAAGCGCACCCAGCTGGTAATCCCTTTGTTTGACTGTATTGCTGTTTGAATGTGTAATTCAAACCTTTAGGGGAGTTTAAAGTCGTCTGTCCTGCAGCAGCAGTCACGTCCTCATGTATCAGTTAACCAGACAAGCTAAATTAACCTCACATAACTCCCATCATCATCATCATCATCATCACGGTGTAAGACTAATAGACTGCAGGGTTGGTTCATAATGCCTGCTTTAAATTGCATGCACCTGATTGAACAGTTTTAAGACGATACTAATTATATTTCCGGGTTGACAAAGTGTCTGACACATTGTCCTCTGTAGAAGATGTTCAGTGTGTAAATATGAGCTGCACACAGTTTTTTTTTTATCTCGTAGAGGAACTTAAAGGCTGAAAGCAAAAATACGACAGTGTAGTAATTGTGTCTGCCGTAGGTTAATTGTCCTGTAAGGTGCATGCATGTCTCTGCATATTATGAAATCAATCAATCAAACTTTATTTATACAGCACCTTTCAGACAGATTAAATTGCAGTTCAAAGTGCTTTACAAGAGTGCAGAAAAGTTGTTGACAAAAAGTAGTTTATAAAATCATTGAGAGACTAATGCACACCAATAAGAACTAAAAAATATATGTAAAAATAAAATAAAATAAAATACGACACATGAAAGCAACAAGATATTAAAATAAATACATAAGAGGAAAATATTTAAAATTGTCGTAGGATAAAAAAAGACAATACAGTAATGTTAAGATTTGAATTGATATAAAACACTATTTAAAAGCCAGACTGAATAAATTAGTTTTAAGACTGCGTTTAAAAATCTCGATATTCTGAAAGACAGGTTGTAGCATCTATTAACGTAAACATAGATAATTTACAAATATTTACATTTCCTCAACAATCAGTGGCAAATGTGGTTAAGAGGAGCATGTGTTGTTTACGTTAATCACGTGACCGCTTATTATAACATCCTCAGGTGATTGTTACCGCCTCCTCATGTGATGGACATCAATGTAATATTTGAAGAGTCAACAGTCTTCTCAGAGACTTACCTCAGTTTTGATGCAGAGATTTCACGCCAATCAATGTTTAGGTCTGCAGTCGATGCTGCATGAAATGAACTTGTATTCTGAGCTTTAGTCCCTCTCTGTGTGCTGTTTGAAAGGTTTCTGTCTGCTCTGTGCAGACCAGTCAATCTATCAATATTTAGCGTCAAATCACAATGAAAAAAGCAATCTTATGACTCTTTACAAAAGGAGCAGGTTTGACTTACTCCTTATAGTATTATTTACAGAGACCCACATGAATTAACTATTCACTGGGAAATAGGGTCAAGGATAACATGTCCTTTTGACGATAGATTACTTCAAGGAGACCCACGCTCATTGCTCAGCCATCTGTCGCCACCAACTGGGTCAAGAAAGAGAGACAGACAAGGTCAAGGAGATGTGCAGTTGACAACTATGATCACAATAGTGATGCAAAACAGCATTTTCAGATAGTATCGATGTTTGGTTATACAATGAATAGTCAACTCTTAAAGTGGCAAACTGTTTCTTTATCATTTTTTTGTACGAGGGTGTTACAATGTGTAATAAAACAAAAAATAATCTTTTACAAAACTGCTATCACAAAGTCTCTTCATTGCACTTTGTTTAAAATATTGCAGGCTATAGAGCTCAGATTTTAAAAAACAGGAAAGGTGAATGCGTCGTTTATTAAGACTGATTGATTGATTGATGTTGTCCAGCAATATTTCAAGTCCACTCTCTCTCTTTTTCAATCAGCGAAGTCCACAGCTGCGACAATGGCTTGTGAAGAGAGGTCAGAGCACCATCACAGCAGAGGTGGGGGCCTCCTCCACCCCGGCAGCAGCTACCGTCCCCAACGCTGCCACAAATCGAATTCTGGGTCGCTGGTTACTGGGCTGCAGCGGGCTGGTGGTGGGGGCTGTCGTCTTGGGAGGTGTCACGAGGTAAGAGTGATGTGCCTGCTGCGTGTATGATAGCGTGTTCGAGTGTTTCTGACAGATACTTACCGTTAACGTGCATCGTTTCAATCAGGTTAACAGAATCGGGCCTCTCCATGGTTGACTGGCATCTGGTGAGAGAGATGAAGCCACCGCAGTCACAGGCAGAGTGGGAGGCTGAGTTTGCCAAGTACCAGCAGTTTCCTGAGTTCAAGATGTAAGAGCCCGGCCTTTTCTCTTTTACTTTATCAACACACACAAACACACACAAGTCTCCATCACAGAAAATCAAAACAGGAGTTTTTAAACTGCTTCAGTTTTGATGTTGATTGACTTGTCTTTTTATAGACAAAAATCTTTCGATCTATGTTTTTAAAAATCTTTTTATAGTTCCCCCCCCCCCCATTTCCTGAAACTCTTGTTTGAGTATTTGTATTTAAAGATAAATGATCTGTTTACACTCTGTTTTCCCAGAATGAATCATGACATGACTCTGCCAGAGTTTAAGTTTATTTTCTACATGGAGTGGGGTCACCGCATGTGGGGTAGACTAGTTGGACTTGCATACATCCTCCCCACAATGTACTTCTGGAAGAAAGGGTACTTCAATCGCTCCATGAAGGGGAAGGTGCTCGGGGCTCTGTGGATTTGTCTTCTTCCAGGTAAGACTCATTGCTGCTTTGGCTATGCGGTCTGAGAGAGTTAATCCTTACTTCACTCTCAGTGATGCCAAGTTGCATGGAGATTAAGTTATGGTCCCACATAAAGAGGTGTATCATTGTTTGTGTCATCACAGGGCCTTCTGGGGTGGTACATGGTGAAAAGCGGTCTGGAGGAGAAGCCTGAGTCTCACGACGTCCCGCGGGTCAGCCAGTATCGCCTAAGTGCTCACCTCGGTTCTGCCTTGTTGCTCTACTGCGCCAGCCTGTGGACCGGTCTCACTCTGCTCCTGCCTGTTCACAAGGTACAGAGGCAGTCCTTTTCCTACAGACAAAACAACTGTTGTAGTTTCTGTCCAGAACTCTAAACTTTGGGTTTGTATGGGTATGTCATCCACAGATGGCAGAAACCAAACAGATCATGCAGCTCAGGAGGTTTGCGAAGGGCACGGGTGGTCTCGTCTTCCTTACCGCACTTTCAGGTACAGTGTACATTTATTTCACGCATGTATGCATTACATTTAAATTCCTTCCTCTCAGCTAATCAATACAGTCACATGAGTACTTTCAGTTTTCATATTTGAAGCCCAGGAAGTACAGTACATGACGGTCTCCTGTATGGCATATTCAGAGATTAAATGCATAAAATCTTATGCTGCACACTGTTAAAATAGATAAGAATGCAAACTATACATATGCAGACATCTGTAACCGTTTTACAAATGATGTCTTAGGTGCTTTTGTGGCTGGTTTGGATGCCGGGCTGGTGTATAACTCCTTCCCTAAAATGGGAGAGCGATGGATCCCTGATGATCTGCTGGCATTCTCCCCTGCTCTCAAGAACTTCTTTGAAAACCCAACAACAGTGCAGTTTGACCACAGAGTACTGGTATGTCGTCACAGAAATAACCCCGTGGGAAACATTTGAACACTTCAACACAGTAAACTATGAACCAATGGATGGTTGTTGAAGATCTTTTGTGCTTGTCTTTTTTCCTAGGCGGTCTCTTCTTTGACAGCGATTACAGGCCTTTATCTTTTCTCAAGGAGGATGGTACTACCCCGAAGGGCCAAGATCGCTATCAGCCTCCTCACTGCAATGGCCTATGGACAGGTAGGATGTTCGTCAGACCGGAAACAAGTCGATTCAATCCCCTTGGTCTTCAGTGTAACTCAAAACTATGTGTTTGTGTTTCTCAGGTCGCCCTCGGTATCAGCACCCTGTTACTGTATGTTCCCACTCCACTGGCAGCGACTCACCAGTCCGGCTCCGTGGCTCTTCTCTCGCTGGCCATTTGGGTTCTGGCAGAGCTCCGCAAGATGCCCAAGTAAATGCCTGCACCTTTATGGACAAATCTAATCCCAACTAGCCACACCTCAAGCCCTCTTGGAGTCAGAAGTTTAATCTTGAACATGCATCCAGGAACAAAAAAAATTAAATTGGATGCATTGATTGTTGAACTGCTTTTCACTATGTATCTGTTGAAGCATTGACCCTGTAGTGCTGCAAAGTAAACCTCATGCAGTGGTTTTGAATTTGATCATCACACCATTACTGAAGCAGTAATGTTATGAGTGTCAGTGACTAAAATTACAAGAACACATCAAGGCTGGCAGTGAGGAAATTGACTGAACTCTTTTCGGATGCATGTTGTGATCAGAGGATGACAACTTGGTGCGATTTGTTTTTTTTTTGTTTTGTTTTGCAAGGAAATCAAACAAAAGATGCTGAAAACAAAACAAGCTACATTTTCATTTCTGTTCAGCTCTAATGACGCAGAAGAAAGATCTTGATTGAAGGGTACATACTTTATCAGAATCATGCAGGAGTGTGTTAAGTTGACTGATTTGCAGCTGTTTTTGTTCCTGTCATCAGTTTAAACAGGATATTACTCTATTTGTCACAAACTGCCTTTAAATTGAATCAGAAGTGGCTTTTGGGATTACATGTAAAATGATGTATATTTAAGTTATGAAACATTGCTTTAGTTTGATACATTATATTATAAAAGATATGTGGGGGACTTGATTTGTGCTTTGTACTGTACCTTTAAAAATGTAAAGCTAATATCTTGTCTTATTTCAATAAAGATGACTATGTTACAGCTTTGACAATTCAAACTCCCGTCCATGTTTTTTGCATAGTAACTGTGATTTTTATTGTCTCTGTACAAAATATACACAATTTAAATACGTAATGCAACCAGTTGAGGCTAGCTAACTAGACAGTCAGTACAGCAGGTTAGTAGGTTTTCATTGTTCTAGACACAGTACATGCGGGTATAGACAGGTTTTTAATCGTGGTCAGGGGTGGAAGGTCAAGACTGTAGGCAAAGAACAATCGGAGCAGATCTAATCCCCCCCCATTAAATAAATTATGTAAGAAAAAAGATTTAACACAGGAAAGTAACAAATTGAACTGTGGGAAGTGCATATCTTCATCAGGGCCTCAATGCACCCTGAGCTGTGCTCTAATAGGAACGAGAGGGTTGGGTGAGTGGAAAGGCGCCCTAAACATGTAGAGAACATTATTGCTATTCCATATTTGTGTATGCATTTGAAAGACACCACAGCCTATTGAATGATGTCATCACATGCCTCTTTTACTCGTACAATCTTCGAGTTCTAGTTCGAACTGAAGCAAACCAAGAAATATCTGAAAATTATAAAATAATCCGGGTTTAAATTGTTGTTCTACACCTCAGGTTGGACAGCATGTAGGTAGACCATAACACTAAATAACATCCTTTATCTCTGATTGCCCCTTGCCTCATGTACTACACAGCATCTCCCTCTCTCTTCACCCGAAGGTGGGCTTTATGTCTGAACTTAGAGTGGCTCTGAATACCTCTTTATATCTTCTCTTTGGTGTTGCAGAGAGAGGGAGAATACGAAATGGAGAGGGGCATAAAAAACAATGTTATTAAACCATGTCTCTCTCGCTACAGTACACATACACTCTATACCTAGTTGAAACTGATTGAGCCTAATTTAATACAAAAAAGGTTTTCTACATTTTCTTTGAGGGGGGGGGGAGTGGTAGAATCTGCTACAACCACATGACTTCTGATTACAAGAAGTTCACAAATACAATCTGCGATCTAATAACTTCCCCTTGAATGTAAATTGATCAGACTAGTATGACTGTGGTAGTCAAGTCCTGTGTTGAGAGACACTGGGGTGGTCAAAACAGCTGGATACTTTGACTATAGTGCAATCCCCACCTTGTACTGCCTAACATCACTTCACTGAGAATGCTAAAAATGTACAACAGTCATTAGACACCTACAGCTAGGACTGTAATATTTGGAAGGCCGGGTACTATTCCTCCAGGGTCCTGTGAAGGGGGGATCCTCTTAGAGTCTCACATGGGTAAGATGGACAACATCTCTTTCTGTAACACATGCACACACACATACACAGAGGGTGAGGCACCTGTGAATGACTGGGAACAGCAGACAGACAAGCAGACTTTGGAGTATCTCTGTAAATACATAATTGGATATTAGTGACATCATCATGCGATATTGAAATCAGTTCGTGGTGGAAATCCTCCATAGAACAGGATCGCCGGGATCTCAAATTTATCATTTGTTTCCTAAAAGAGTGTCTTTCTTACTCCACTAGATGGCGGCAGACTCATATTTATCTTTCATGGCTGGGGTATGAGCGGTCTGGCAGCTCCAGGGAGGTGTGACATCCACATGCACAGAGACATGGGGTCCAATTTTAAAAAAATCCAAATCTTGGCCATCACAGGGAAAAAGGGGAAAAGTAATCCTAGGAGACATTTACGTTACCATTACAGGCTGTCATAGTTCCTCCATCAGTAATGGTAATAAATGAAAAGAAAAAAGGACAGTCTTTGTTTTGCCCGCTGCTTTGTCTTCTTTCTCTGTGTCTCTGGGGTACAACTAAGGTTCAGCATGTTGAGCGAAGGTGTTGGGATACCTCCATAGTTGCTTGTAGAAATGCCACCAGGGGTCCAGGAAGAGGGCGAGGACCCCTTACAGCCCTCTGGACTCATACTGAAGCTCTCGACACAAGCACAAGCTCGCAAGTCTGAAAACAGACATACACACACATTCATAACTCTTTCTCTCCTTTTTTTTTTAAAACCCAGTTCCTCTTCCAAACACACACATTCCCCTCCCTGGTGCCCGCTTTGTCTCTGATCCAGGCTTTTAGATGACGTTGTCAAACAGCTGCATGGACTGCATGATGTTCTCGTCCTAGGTGGAGACAAAAGGTTTGGATAAGGCAAAGTAAGGGAAAGGGGTACTTTGAAAATATCATTTTGCTTTCTTGCTGAGAGGTAGATAAGATCAGTGATGACACTCTCACGTTGTCTGTTATGGACAAAGATAGAGTTAGGAGACAATTAGCTTAGCTTAGTTTAACATAATGAGCTTCAAACAGCTACCTGCCAAAGTAACTAGAAATAAAATAAGAAGACCTACAAGCATATCTAAAGCTTATTTATGCACAGGCTTGTTTGTTTTATGTCCACACATGAAAAAAATCATTCTAAACGACAGGTTGTGGTTTTTAGAGGTGTCATGTGCTGTAAATATTTCATTGCCTGGCTAAGTAATTTCCTGGAGTCACAGGAAATCCTACCAGCATCTTGTCTCTGCTGCATACTTGAAGCACAGACATGAAAGTGTTGTCATCCTTTTCATCTAACTCTTGACAAAAATGCAAATAAGTGTGTTTTCCAAAATATCTTTTACTTTTTAAGAAAGAAAAATCCGCTTTTCTTCCTTACCTTTTTGCAAGACTCAATGAACTCGTCTATGGTGACCACCCCGTCTTTATTCCGGTCCATTTTCTGGAAAGAAAGGTGAGCCAAATATTTAGTTATGTATTTTTAAAAACTTTGGCACTTTGTTTTCTCATACAAATCTTCCTCTCTGTCATTTTTCTGTAGTACTAAACAGTGAAGACTGTTGATGTTGACCTGGAAGAAGCTTTCCACATGATCTCTTGGAGCGTCGTCCTGCATAGTGGGGTATGTATATTTCCCCATCATGTCATAAATAGACCTCATGATGTCCAACATTTCCTGTGAAGTGAAGAACAAATGGGAGTTCTCAATATTAAAGTATGAATGTGATGCACTCTGTGATAAATGTCCTGGGGAGTTCATCTCTGAACCTCATTTCCTCCAAAAATTTGAATGAACAATTAACAAATTACGGACACGACCTTGTAGTCCTCATTAGTAGCTGCAGCCCTGATTAGAAGCCATTATGGCAAGTAATTTAGAGAAAAGTTAGAACTGTGTGTCCATGTGTGTGTCCATGTGTGTGTGTTACCTCTTTGGTGATGCAGCCGTCCTTGTTCAGGTCATAGAGGTTGAACGCCCAGTTTAACCGGTCATTAATGGTCCCTCTCAATATGATAGACAGGCCAAATACAAAATCCTGAGATTGAAAGGGGGAACAAGTTACTCCAGTGTTTGGCATCTCTGAGATCTTGACACAGCATTAATGTCTGCTGGCAGCTATTTAGAGGGAATTCATATTTGTATGGACACTGCTGTGGTAGCAAGTTTCACTGGATCACGTGTTTGCTTTAATCTCTAAAAAGGAAGCTGATAGAATAATTGACTCACCTCAAAACTAATGGAGCCGTTCTTGTCTGTGTCGAAGGCTTCAAACAGGAAATGTGCATACATACTTGAATCTGCAAAAAGATAGAGACTTACAGTGACCTGCATGCCCTCAAACAGTGACTTTAAGTCTTTGAACAGCTAGGACTTGCGGCGAGCTAAATATAGCAAAGAAATGAGAATCATTTCAAATAAAACTGGAGGCGAGTGGTTAACATTTCATCAAGCTAAATATCATGAAATGAAAAATTGCCCTGACTTTCTGCAGTGCTTTACAATAGTTCAGCAGAGCAGATCTATAATGACTTTATTATGTTAATTTCCGTGTGATGATGAAAAGCTCTATGTGAGGCTCTACACAGTTAAATAAACGACATTATTTACATTTTAACCTAAATGAAGATAAAAAGTGTTGTGTAAATAAAAGTCTATAATGGAAACAGGTGGAGATCTACAGGTTTAGTGGTAAGAGTTGACAACTCACCTCCCTGCGGAAAGAACTGGGAGTAAATGGTCTTAAAGTTCTCCTCATTAACCACACCACACGGACACTCCTGGGAAACAAATCAAGAAAACTCATTAGTTACCATCTAGCACAGGATATAAAGGTAAAATCAGGTCACGCTAGACTGCAACCACAACGATGCATCTACAATTTTTAAGGTTTATCTGTTGTCACTCCTGGTTTGTAATTGTCTTCTTTGGCCACACCTACATTTTTGAAGCCCCTGTAAAGGACTTGAAGCTCCTTCTTGGTGAACTTGGTCTGCTCCTGCAGCTTGTCCATGCTTTCAGGGCGATGACACACAGTGGACAGCTCAAAGTCATCCTCCACGCTGTCTGTGGGAGAAAGAGACCAGGGTCAATCATCGTTTATCATATGTGCACCCACAACAGCCTCCAGGGTGGTTATGACCTCGTTGTAATTAAGTCATCAAGCTGAAAATGAGCTCAGGATTAGCATTAAGGATAAAGCCTTATCATTTTTACACAGGGCTCAATGATATACAGGCTATTTATTTACTATTTTAATCATTATTATGTTATTCTAAAGCATAAAGTTATTCTCTACACATAAATTTGGGTTATAATCTCAAGAGGTTTCAACACATTTTTTTGTTACAGCCCAGGCTACTGCTTTCTTGTCAAAGAGGTTAAGTTTAGTTTATTTGCAAAATGTTGAGAAAGTCAGATGGAGAAAAAAAGTGAATACAAATTAATCACATTGAAGTAGAAACCCACTGTGGGCTTCTCTCTTAAACCTCACCTAAAAAAATGAACAAAAATTAAATTAAATAAAAAAAAACTGAAAGTTGAAAACACAACAAACATAACAAAATCGGGAAAAATTAATCTCATTTTGTGTTCCATAAATGAACCCCATGGTATCTTATCGATACTTGTTTGTGATTTTCTAGTCGAATAATAGTTGACTTGTGACATTTTTTTGGTAAGTTTGGAGCCTATATGTATTTCACTTTAGAAATAAGGGTAGGCCTACATATTTGAAGAATATAAATATAAGAAATAATCAACATGTTACACACATAAAAGTGGAGAGGTTGCATCACAGGACTTGGAGAAATTTACCGATCTCACAAAACGTTTCTGCAGCATTAGAATTTTCTGGAGACGATGTGGGGGAAATGTTGGCCCATAAGTGAGATATGGATCTAAAAAAAGCTACCAATCTAACTATTGAACAGTAAAACATACAAATCCATGTATAAAAAACTGGGGAGACAGTAGCCTATGTTGAGCAAGTGAGATATCAACATTTATGAATCTACTGTGGTGGAGACGCTACTGACAGCGATACAGGGATGGCTAACAGAAACAGCTAACTGTGTAGTTAAGACATAGCTTATTTTAAAAAAAGAACTATCAACTCATAGCATGTGTCATGTGTAACTGTTTTAGTCTTTTAGGACCTACTATTTTGACCTCACTTTAACCTTAAACAGGCTTGTAACTTTGGTGATAGCAGATGGGCTAGCTAAAATTGGTGGCTAACAACAACAACTACAGTAGCAAGGACATAGCGTTTTCCACCGATACAAAACAAAACTGTCAACTCACAGCGGGTGTCATAAAACGTTTTTAAACCTTTAAACCTACTATTTTGACCTTGCTTTAATTTAAGTCAGCCTATCTGTTAAAGTAGGCTACACACACTCATACACAGACGCACACACAAACGTGCCATATTGCCAACATGAACAGCACACGCTTCAAATCAAAACATGAGAAAACAGGTGTGACCCATTAGCAGCAAAATACTGTTTTACAAAGTTTGAGTGCTTTTGTGTTTCTTGATGTGACTTGTGGGTTAAATGGTGAATCTTCTTAATTTCACCGAAGAGGCAGGACACATGTAAAAGTAGTGAGTACATAGAGAGTAAAGGAGAACTTGCTTTCACTGATTGAGGGAGCAACCGAGGGCTGGCAGCATGGCAGCAGCTTGAGGAATCGCTGCTTTATGGTTTTTTTGCTTTGGCTGTTGGAAGGATTACCTGAAATCACCAACCATATATCACAAAGGTTAGGCACGCGCACACACACAAGTCTGCAAATGTTTCACACACACACACACACACACATGCCTGAACTCCATGCAACGGACAGACGCAACAACATCATGCCGTTAAATGCCTGCTGACCTGGCTGAGCGCTGGGAGACCATAACTACCACTCCATTCAGTGGATACTGCCAAACAGCGACAAAACAGCATGAACCCTAGAAATACACAGTATCCCTCATCAGACTGGCTTATATCACAATGCGGCTTTCAGCAAACCCTGTGAAAAACCAGCTGAGAGTATCAATTCAAGAGACAAGTTAAACATCAACAGTTTTAATTCACCATCGGCTTAAACAAGGATTTAATTTGTGACAGTAGAAAGTCATTCTCCAGACAAATGTAATGAAAAACCGCCTCAAAAAGAGCCCATCACAAATACCAGCATACTGTAGAGCCATTTCATCTCAAAGCAAACACATTTCATGATGCCCGTTTTTCTGTGTTTCACACAGTGGAAATGACAGGCACATTTGCACACATGGACCCTTTTACTTACTTTTTCCTCCTAGTTTCCATGGTAACAGTCCCTGTACCCCTTTCAGCAGGACCCCAGCAGTCTGAGGGATGAAGGCCATGATGGGGTGAAAACCAGTAGATCCACAGTACCTCCCCTCACAGCTATCTATCCTCTGTGATGTGTCACCTCTGTTTTCTCTGGTACTCCTGACCCGAGTCTCTGGTGTCATTTGGAGCCAGAGCAGGCAGAGAACATTGTCCAATGGATACCAGATTAAAAGCAAACAGCTGCCTAGTACAAGCCCAGCCCTCTGCCTTGGGGCAGGGTCTGTGTTTTAAGTAAGTGCATTATCTTTTTCCAAATGGACCAAACAGGTGACCACATTTTAATATCAACCAAATCAGAGGACTTATTAAGAAAGGTGGTGTCTCATTGTGCAGTGATATGGTTTACAGGCCTTATTGTGAATAACTCTTACCCTTTATAAAATAAAAACGGATGAGTTACAAAAATTCACCCCCCGTACAGTGTGTGTCGCATGAGAAATTAGCTAATCAGAGCAATTTGTTTTTTTAACCAGGCTGCAAACATTTTAATTTCTGCTGTAAAAAATGACTTTTTCGACTGGGTGTGTATGTGACTTCAGGTTTTTCTGCAGCCAGCCTCAAGTGGACACTTGAAGAACTGCAAGAGTTTGCACTTCCGTATCAGGTTCATTTTTAAATAACGGAGGTTGCTTATTGGTTGTTACTGGATGAGGAGGAAGCTATTAGATAAGTGAACAACTCTCCAAAAGGGTTTGCTTGAAACTGATTAGTTTGTTTTGAAAATTAATGTTTCAGATGTAAAGGAAGATAAAAATCTAACTATACTTTGCTTTTTAGTTTGCCAAAAATTTGACGACAGCATGGTAACTCATTCTGCTCAAGCTGCTCTGTGGGAAACATGATCAAAAGCTCCAGCACATCTATCAATGGACCTTGAGGTGAGACTGTTTCCACGTCTGGTTGTAACTTTCTTATTCTGAAATACTGTATACAGAATGTATCATGTTGCAAAATGTCTTTGTATGATTTCTTAGTACATAATTAATATAAATACTGTTACTGCAGTTAAGTCAAATTGAAATTTCCAAGCTGTAGGAGAAGCTTCATGTAGTAAACATTAAATGATACTCTTGTTTTAATGTCCCATAATTATTAAATACATGTACTAAAATACTGATCACAGAAGCCTGGGTTAGAACTAGGGAGTGACCCATAGATCTGATTATTATTGTGTTACAGATGCAGATTGTTTATGGGTGTGGGTGAACTAAATTTAATTTCAAACGTCTGCTCTGAATGCTTAGACGAAGATAGATTAAAAACAAAAACAAAAAAGGACTTGTGCTCTGAATGGAAAACGGAGCTTGAAATACTTGTAAGGACCATGAAAGTCAAATCTACTTGAAACTGTCAGGTTCTTAGATATGTGTCTTTTAAGGACTGAGACGTTCCTCTCTCTCTATCTCACAGGCCTCTCTCCATCTCCTCTGCTTTTTCTCTTCTGTGATTTTGCACTTTACTGATATTTCCTGCTTGTTGTGATGCCTTTGAGAAAGTGTGCTCCGGCTGTCTTGGACAAGTCTGTTTTGGAATAGAGATGTTATATCTCAGATGAATTAACCTGATTTTGACACACACACACACACACACACACACACACACACACACACACACACACACACACACACACACACACACACACACACACACACACACACACACACACACACACACACACACACACACACAAGCCCAACTCTTTATGGTCCCCTATTTTCATAGGAAACATGCTTCTAAAACATATTTACCAAATCTATCTTCAACCTTATCTATCATTTCATTCAGTTCATGGATTCATGTATTGTAACTATCTTTGAGTCACAGAGATCGTATTTATCCTTGTGTCATATATTGATTAATCTCTATTTAAACATGTAATATCTAATATATTGTATCTATCCGCCCATTATTTTGTATTGTACTCGCCTATCTTTCTTCATACCGTATCTAACCTTATATGCTATTGTTTGGTATCATATATCTTGTTTTCTGTATGGTATGGTACGTTGTTGTTCCCTTTGCTATTGTATCGCATCGTATTGCAACATATGGTATCAATACAATCTCAATCCATCCATCTTTCACAGCTTTTTTCCAAGTATACTTAAAAAGCATCCACTTAGAATTAAGAAACAACTCTTAATATGGAATTGATATCTCTGTTGTATCTCTCACATTTCATGTAACAGAAGGATTTGGTTGAAGACAGACCTTTGTTAAAAAAAAAGAAGGTTTTTGCCCTCACTTGGCTTTTCAAAGTAACATGAGATCATTTAGATCCTCTGCCTTTGAAGTTCAAATTGTTTTTTTGAGTGGCACCAACAATGAGACCTGAAATTCTTTCATTCTCGCTGAATAGACAGAAAGATGGAAACTGTCTGCATCTCTTCAGGCAGGAAGACACTGTCTGGGTTTTTCTGCAGCCGTGCAGCTTCATTACATTCTTACTTAAGAGTGTCATGTAGTTATTGTGCAATTAGAGTTCAACAGTGTCCCCCCCAGGGTACACTGACACACACCATCACAGCTCTTCAGGATATAAGAAAAACAGGTCTATTTTTAGCCTGATGGCAAAGCATTTTTTGCCAATATACCGTTTGAAGGAGCTTTGCTTTTCACAAACCCAAGAGATCTGAGGATTTTCTCAAGGAACAATGAAACCATGAAATCCCTAAATGAAAATGAAGACAGCAAACATGTTACGGTAAGGAGTCACAGTGATACACTAGACTGCTGATAGTGAACCAAACTGATGGTGCAAATGCAGCATTGAACCCGATGAGAGGTGCAGAACTGCTTCAGAGAATCGGTGCAGTTTTCCCAAAAAATTGTCATTAACTTGAATCTTTAATGCATGCTGGTTCAGTTCTTTGTATGACTGGTTTTTCAATGAGGTCTGGGACCCACCTAATGTCATTTATCTTCTCCCACTTCTCCTGCCTAGCTTCACTCTTCTGCACTCCAGCTACTAAAAATTGCACATAAATAAAGTTTGGGGGACTCACAAAAGCCAAAAAAGAAAAGATTAATCAAAGGCTATGCAGCAAGTGCAGTCTCTGATTTTTTCCACTACATATGCCTTAAGATCTTAAAACACTACATCGCCCATAACACAGAACTTCTACCTGTCTGGTTAATGCTTCTTCTGCTTTCCTTTTAAATGTTGGGCCATGGGTTGGCCCTGTGGTTAAGATGCCAGTCATTGAAAAATGCCAATTTGATTCTAGTCAAGAAGCTCTGCAGCATGTCCACATTTGCAACCTCTACATTTCCTTTGCTACGATTACTAATTCAAAATGGCCAAATGAAAGAGTGCAACCAGCCAAGCTTCAAATTTGATAAAAACAAATTGTGACAAAACCAGGAGTAGTCTTTTAGGACTTAGGAATCTTAAGAGCACAGGAGATACTGAACTGCAAAACTCTTCATGACGAGCAACATGTTGGTAATGCCAAAAATCGGTGGAATATTCCTTTAGCCAAAAATACAAACACAGCTTCCTTAACGTTGATTTTCCCGAAAATTAAACGATCACACAGAATTATTTAGATATTGCATAAAGTGAATATTTGAATATATTATCATCATCATCATCATCAAGGGAGAGCAATTTCAAAGATTCAATTTTTTCCAGTTTGGACGGGCCTACACTTAGACATGTTTTTCTATTTTTAGTTGTTTGTCTTTCACTGAAATATATGCAGCATAATCCTCAGTTTTAGCTTGCTGCACGTGTATGTAAGTTAGAAACGTATTGACACACGATATGTGCTTCAGTATTAAAGTCTCAGACAAAACCAAACACACACACACACACACACAACCACATGCACACACTCTAACACACACAGCAATGTGACACAAAGCCATACACAGCCACACACACACTTCTCAGTACCATAAATAGGTGTGACATTTGTAACGGCTATTTAGTGAGACAATTAGGACAGACTACTTTATGTTTTATCCTGATAAACACTTTAGAAACACAAACAAACCAACATGTAGACACACCCCCTCCCTTCTTTTCTATAGAGAGTATTCCTCCCATTATCTCTCACCATATTCATCATTTTGACTTCACAGTCCGTGCCTCTTTCTAGCTCTCTTACCATCCATCTCACCTGGCGTTGAAAGGTCGATAAGCCCCAGAAAGTGCATCAGTTTGAGGGAGCTGCAGACCACCAGCAGAATGCCAACAGTCTGCAGCCCCTCCAACTCCCACTTGTCTCGGAAGAACAGATGCATCCTTTCCCCCCTCCTCTCTCTCACAACAAAAAATCTTTCTCTCGCCCCAGGGCAACCACTTCCCCCCCCCTCAGCTCCAACCAGGAATGCACCGTCTTCGTCTCTTCAGCCTCTCCTCTCAGCCTCCCTCTATGTGCCGGTGGTATTCAGGCATCCTCACTCTGCACGGCTCCTCGCCTGCTTTCTTCACAGAAGGTAGATTGTTATTCTCCTCGTTTCTTCATCCAGAGCGTTAACTGCGTGGCAGCGAGACTGCCGGCTTGCTGCTCCACCCCCGCCACCTCCGAGTCTGTCAAAGGCTGTTAAAGTTCCTGGTGAAGTTCGGACAATAAACCATGTGTGTCCTGGCAGGTTGGCTGCAATTGTTTTCAGACTCTTTCTGCTTCTTTTTTCTTCCAGCCACTGACTCTCAAACTCTCTCTCTGTCTGCTCTCGCTGCCTGTCCTCCCTCTCTTTCTCTCCTTACCTCCGTCTCTCTCCTGCGGTGTCCCTCCCTATCTTTAATTGGGTCAGTGATGGGGCTGAGTGAAGGAAGAAAAGGAGGAGGGGGAGACGGAAGAAGGAAGGAGGAGGGAGGAATACTACTTGAAGGGTGAGAGGGGGAACAGAAAAGAGGGGACACACGAGAGACGAATGAGAAGAATGAATTGGTAGGTGAGATATTAAAGGAGGAGGGGCAAAAGGGAATTGTTAAAGAGGGAAATAATCACAACCAGGGGTATATATTCAAAAACAAATCACCAAAATTAAGGACAAATTTAGGAGAAGAAGAGGAGAAAGCAACAGAAGGGAGGAGCATCTGACCCTGCGGCTACTGTGGACAAACTGGCAGATGTGGCAATTTCCCCTGAGTGTAAAGCACACACACACACACACACACACACACACACACACACACACACACACACACACACACACAGAGAGAGAGAGAGAGAGAGAGAGAGAGAGAGAGAGAGAGAGAGAGAGAGAGAGAGAGAGAGAGAGAGAGAGAGCAGCAGCAGCCTGGAGGTGATATCTGGCTATAGCATGTTTTGCATATGCATCCAGCACAGTGGGGAATCTTTCAGATGGGATGGGGTATAGATGTCACATCTGGAACACTGACAGATGCAATCTCTGCAAGAACTGGAAGGGAAAAATCTCACTCTGAAATATACTTTAGAGCTGGGATTCCAAATGTGAGTAGGGAGGCACTGACGTGCTATGCAGGATCAGAAAGAAAACTTTAACCCTTTTCAGTCTGCTGTGCTGTAACTAAGCTCAGCCGTCATCATATCTTTGGAAACTCATTTCGATTCCACAATGGTGTAATATCGGCGTTTTGGAAGCGTGGCAAAGCGAGAGCTCCACATACACACACACAGTCAGACATGCACACACACACAGCGCTGTGTTCCCCCGCCCCGCTCAGCTGATCCTGTATCGCATCTGTAATGCCTCTGTTACTACCTCCAAAGACTTCATCCCCCCCATTACGCCTCAGTGACATTCAGATTGAACGCGAAATGTCACAGTCTGAATAGGGCTACGGATCCAAAGACTCTTTTTACTTTGGGGAAATTCAAGACGACTCTAAAGGTTGAGAAAGTAGTACATCTACCATGGAGCTTTTACTGAAATCCTTAAAATCTACTGTGAGGAAGTATTAGCCGGCTATGAAGCACACAGAAATTAATAATGAACTAATGAACTACACCATAAGCATTAGGATGGACATGTTATATTAAGTTATTTTTAAAGCCTAAACCACTATTGGTAGGTGTCAGAAGATGGGATTAATGGCATGATTCAATATGGCTGAAGTTAAGCTTAGGAAAGTATATCCTCGGATAAGAGCATGGATGAAGTTTAAACATAATAACTACATAGTTTAGTTTGGATTTGATAAGGAGACTGTTTCCAAGGGTCACTCAGCTTTTTGGTATAGGAAATGGAAGACAATAATTGCAGCAACAGCTTCCACTTAACTCCAAACAAACACCAGTAATTGAAAAACTATACATACCCTTGCGGTTTGTCACTCAAACTGAAACATATTGTTAAGGGGACATTTATGGGAATGACTGATGCTTTTGTTCTTCTTCATCTGGAATTTGTTTTGAGAGACAATACATTGGCTCAGTGCACCCCTTAATAAGAGAGCTAGACTTCATCGCAAGTGGTAAGTGACAACCCTTGGCTTCAAAGTCTTCCATCACTTTCATCCTCTTCTCTATTTTCAATATTAAAAAAAGAGATACAGACACTGAGAGGTAAGAATATTTAGTCCCAAGCACTCTAAAAGCATCATTTTGTCTCCCAAATTGGATTGTTTATGAGTATGTGAGTGTGTGTGTCTGTGAGCAGGTCAGTGTGAGCAGGTCAGTTTTCTGTCGGACACAGAGAAACAGAAGATGAAGAGGAGGATAAAGCTGCAGGAGTTTACAGAGGGCTTGATCTGTCAGCCGTGTGATTAATGATTCTCAGAGCCAAAATGAGACCTGGAGCCACAGTTTTGCTTCGGATCCTCGGGGAGAGCACATCTTAGAGCAGCCTCTTGAGACTGAACAACCAGCACTTAATAAGAGGCAGACTCGTGCTCTTTTTGGTAAATGACAACAAGCATTAACTTTGCAGTTGCAGCCTGAGTTCATGTTCAAAGTCAGAAAGTACGGCCAGAACATTCAAAGAGGGCAACAATGGATCACCATCATTTAATGTTCACAGAGAGTCAACTGTGGCGGTCAAGTGCAGGGAGATCTAGAGGGCTTCTAATGGCACTAAAAGACCAGACATTATCATAAAAAAAACATTTATGGTAAGATGAGATCACTAAGGGGGAAATGATCATCAGAAACGGTCTTTAAAGGAATAAATTAAAAGGATTACTTCACAGCCGGTCAGCTATTGAGATTTCAAATCTACATTAAGTTATGCTGAACAATATTTTGCATTAATTTATGGGCACGATAGATTAAACAGGCAACATAAATTCCTGAATACAGTGACACATTCAGGACAGTAAATTCTCAAACACAGTCTGCTGTCGGAGACACAAATCAAGGATGAAAGCGGGAGAGATAAAGTCTGGTTGGGCCTATTTGTCGTCACCTCTTAGAGAAAATTAGGACATCTTTCGTACACTGAGACAGAAGTGTAAGATCAAATACACTGCAAAAAAAAGTCTCCCATTTGACTTTGCTTCTTTCCTAAAAGTATTGATCAAACACTACTGTAAGGTACTGACCTCTGGCAGCTTGTAAGATTTCTAATTATTGACGCGATTGTTTCCATGTATGCACTGATTGGTTTGTTGTGGAGAATAAAAGGATGTCTGTGGAGGGTTGATGTAAAACCCTGGGGAGTTAAACCTGGTTAAAAGGAAAGTTTTTTTAATAGTCCAAACTTAACACAACTTTTGTTTCAACATAATTTAAATGACTATTTGTCTAGATGAAGTAAGGAATTGCTTAAAAATGAAATAAGGCCCAAAAAGAAATCTTGGTATGACGTATTAGCATGCTAACACTCGAAAATTAGCGATAGAACCAAAGTGCAGATGAGTCTGATGGGATCTTCAGATCTTCAAACTATTGATGTTCCTGGTGACTCATTTTACTAAAGGTATAAGAACACACTCCAACAACAGTCAAAATTGAGCACTAATAATTTAACATAGCTAAACACGAGATCACAGTGATTGTGAATACACAATGTTAAAATGGTCGAGTGGCTACAGTTAGCAGTGCTAGCACCCCAAGCCTCCAGCCCTCCTTAACGCCCAACTGCATGTGCTGGTTTCATTTTGCTCTGATCGAATGGTTTTATGATAAGATAAGATAAGGTAAGATATACTTTATTCATCCCAGCAGGGAAATTTAGGTGTTCCAGCAGCCAGCATACATAAAAACACACAACACAACACATATATATATATATACATATCCCACCCATACAAAAAACATGAGCCCACAATGCATAGTCAGGATAAAAAAAAGTGGTATGGATGGTCCATGTGCATAAGTAGCTGTTACTCATAGATAACAGTACAAAATACTAGCTCTGCCAGTGCATAGTATGATAGATAAACAAAGAATTATGATTAAAAAAAAGCAGTCAAGTGTGCAAAATACAGACAGCTAACAACGTAATCTTCATTTTTAGATTTAAAAAAAACTGCCAAACCTCTTCGTGCTACGAGATGCAATCTGCTATGCTTGTTTACATCTGGGTAGTAGAGCAATATAGTAGTAGAAATTAACTGAAGCTACAGCTTTGGCTAGTGGTAGGCAGCTGTGTTACAGCATTATTGCCAGCCTGAAATGTTTGAAATATAAATGGTTTCAATGGCTAGTAATTCTGAGTTTACAAAATTTGATCTTGAAGTCGGCTAACCTCAAAAATTCAAACTTGCAACTCCCTTACACCCCTGCTTATAAAAATTGATAAATAAAGTAAATGTGGACCAGCTCCCCTGCTGTAAAAGTCCCATCTCCTTAAGGGCAGGTGGACAGTGAGGTACGCATTCATATCTGCTTCTTTTAGCATTGCTTTTGCAAAGTTCTGTTGAAGAGTCATCTATCCTATGTGAAAACTGCTGGTCGAGGCAGTTATCTTACTCACAGTGATGGCTTAAGAGTCACTCAAGCCTACCACCATGCTTCAAAAAAAAAAAAGCTGGAAAAAGAGAAGCATCAACAGTGTTCTCAAGGGCTCCAACTGGGTATCGAGATCTACCCAGACTCAGAACTAAATTCTGACCAGTGAGTACCATGAAGCCAGAATAGTGTTTCAAGGATAACATCCGGATCAACCTTAAACATTTGATCATCAACAACTAATCAGTGAGACCGTCTTTCCTGACTTTGCATGGCCGCCAATGCTGTTGATGAAATTGAGACTGTGTAGTATAATTAGTATGCCAGTAGTGGCGTTTAAAAAAAAATTGCTTCCAGTAAAGTTCCTCAGATGTTTCTACTTCCCCGTGTTAAATGATGAGGATCCTTCAGGGCATGGAGGAATCACAGATGAACCACGGGAGCTTAATTTAGCCTCAAATGTTGACAGGCAGCACGCATGAGGAGGCAACATCTGAAATCTAGCCAAAGAGATGTTGTCATCTTACTGTAATATTCGGTTATTCCCTTGCTTTATTCCTAATGTACTGTAGTTGCTAACACCTTCACACACTCCCATGCTCACACACAAACTTGTAATAAAATATTAGGCTAATTAGCCTTAGTTGATTAGTCTCTATGAGACGTAGTTTGCCTGAAGCCAGACACACAGTAATTGAAATCTCTCCATATTTAGACATCTACCTGAGCAATTATTCCCCTCAAAACTGATTAAAATGTCTAACAGATAGGAGTGTGTGTGTGTGTGTGTCATAATGCTCGCAGCAAGGGAGACACAGGGGAGGTCATTGATAAATGGTGCTCAAAATTTAGCTAGTGTTTTTTCAATTAAATAAGTGAAC